TACACTGGGAATATACCTTCAGTGCATGTGTGTGATGCGCAGATGCAGGTGATGCACATGTGTTCATGCTGTTGAGGCCCTCTACATCAGGTTCTGGTGCTTCTTGGAAAGACTTTGTCCCAGAACACTTCATCCATCCATCCATTTTCTTCCCCTTAATCCATTTCTGGGTCGGGGGGGTGGCAGTCAGAGCTGCACCCAGTACACAGAGCACCAGCCCCTCACTGATCCTCCTGCAGGTGGTGAGTCCACAGGAGCTGAGATCTTTCAGTTGGGGCTTTGGGCAAAGTAGGGTTAAGTGTCTTGCCCAAGGACACAACGACAGCAGTCATCAGTGGGAGTCGTGAAGTAGGTCTTATGGTGGGCTCAAACCCACGACCTTCAGGCCCAAAGGCCAATGCTCTACCAACTGAGCTACTGTCACTGTTTGGTCCTTAAACACTTCATTTAAGGACCAAATGATTAGCAAGATTCTTCAGATGTAAGCCAAGATGTAAGTCCAATCCCGACTGTAAGCAGAGGCGACTGCCTCTACAGTCGTGTTGTGGCGCTGCATATGTGGATCCAGGCTACATGCAGCTCTTTTAACTTTGTCTTTGTGAATAACTTTGCCCTTTTCTGGAAACGTTACGAAGCCTATCGTCCAGACGGATTACACCCAAACAGATACGGTAGCAGCCTGTTGATGGACTACATGCGTTACGTTGTTCAGCGTTCCCCGAGGGGGGCGTGACTGTTTACATCTGAGCCCCCTCGGACCCCACCGCACTCCCCCGCCTCCTGCTCACCAGCACCGGGTGAGTACAACGGTGCAAACACTGCTCCCTGTCCGTCTGGCAGTGCATTACCAGTCCAAACACTGAACTGTGCTGACTCCCTTCTGATTCTGGGAGCTAAAGAACAACAAGGGTTTTCACATTTTAGGCCAATTGAGACTGTGTGCGTTCCTCGCACCAGCTCAAAAATGTTTTTAAATTCTAAAAAACGAAATCAAAACAGGACAGCAGTTAGACGGTCCAACTCTGCAAATCTAATTTCTGTTCCCTGTAGAAATCAATCAACCACATTAATCGACTCTGACGTTATTTTTAAACTTGCTATGCTTAATGTCAGATCTCTATGTAACAAATCATTTTTAATTAATAATTTTATCACTTCTTATGATCTTGATTTTATGCTTATGGCTGAAACATGGCTGGACCAAAATACAGGAAATGCAGTTCTAATAGAAGCAACACCACCCAATGTTAAATTCGAATCCGAAGTACGAGAAAACAAAAGGGGGGGAGGCATAGCTGCAGTTTTTAGAGAGCACTTTGTCTCCCATAGAATGCCCCTTGGAAATTTTTCATCGTTTGAGTATATTTCTTTTAAAATGGAACAAAAGCAATCTTCTACTCTTTTCATTGTCCTGTACAGGCCACCACAGTCATGTTGCGATTTTATTGACCATTTTACTGAACTACTTTCATTCGTGTGCACAGATTTTGATAGTTTAGTTATTACAGGTGATTTTAATGTACATGTTGATAATGTTGATGACAGAAATGCAAAGGAGCTGGCTTCTGTATTTGAGACCTTTGGTTTCATTCAGCACGTGAGTGGCCCCACCCACAGCAGGGGGCACACTCTTGACCTGCTAATTACAAAGGGGGTTAATGTATCAAATGTTAATGTAGTTGATGTTGCTTTGTCAGATCATTTTTGTGTATTTTTTGACATGTGTTTTGCTAGCAAACCACCAGCTGAATTTACAATTGTTAGACGAAGACACATACATGAAAACACAAGTGAACTGTTCATGGGAATGCTAAATTTTGAGAAAACTCCATGCTCTACTGTTGATGAATTGTATAACTCTGTCACCACCAGTGTTCTGACTGTTCTGGACGCCATTGCTCCTGTGACGGTTAAAATAGTTACCAGTAAGAAAAAGGCCCCATGGCAGACTCGGTCAGGGCACAGAAGCAAGAGTGCCGGAGGGCCGAACGGAAGTGGCAAAAGTCCAATTTCCAGGGCGATTATGAAATCTTTAAAGATGAGTTGGGTGAATTTAACCGGGTTCTACGTAGAACAAGAGAAATGTATTTTTCTGACATTATTGGAGGTTGCAGTAACAATTTTCGTGTTATGTTTGCAACAGTTGGTAGATTAACGAACCCCCCTGTAAAGTTGCCCCTAGAATTTTCCTCTAAATCTAGGTGTAATGAGTTCGCACAGTTTTTCAATGACAAAGTACAAGGAATCAAAAACACTATCACCTCCACAGCACGTATAACAATTAGTGCTGTCCAACGATTAAAATATTTAATCACGATTAATCGCATGAATTTCATAGTTAACTCGCGATTAATCGCAAATTAGTCACCCATTTGCGTGCTGTGTGCAATTGCTTTTTTATTGAAAACAATGTGTAGTGTTATATTACACACTAACATTTGATGCAAAATCATCAATAAATGGATGACAAAATAAATAATTGGTAACAAAAAGCCCCTTCAATGTGTGTGTGGAGTGTGTGTGTGTTTATGGGTGTGGGTGTGTGTGTGTGTGTGTGTGTGTGTGTGTATGTGTGGGTATAGACCATAGACTGTATAGAAACATCATGGTGTCATTATGATGATGATAAACAATTTTTTTGTAAATTTGTTCATGTAAATACTCTATGCTGTTTCTCTGTTTACTTTCGGTATATCTATGACTGTATACTGTTTGCTTGTATTGCCTTTTTTATTAACCCCTCCCCCCCATCTCCCACTTCATGTCCCCCCCCTCCTATGTGCCCTTCTGGGTTTCTTCTTTGGCCCCCTGTATCTCCAACTACATATTGTTTGTAATCTCTGTCTACAATGTATCTTAACTAGTCCTTTTCTTTGTGTCTATTTTTTTCTGTATATGTGTTTGTCTGCAATAAAAAGTAAAAAAAAAAAAAAAAAAATTAATGGCGATAAAAAAAATGACGCCGTTAATATTGATTTGCGTTAACGCGTTAATAACGCGATATTTTGGACAGCACTAATAACAATGCAACAGCCAGAGAAGCTTGTTGAGCTAACTCACTTTGCACCTGTGGATACTGAAACTGTCAAAAAGATAATCATGAGTCTGAGCTCCTCCACATGTAGCCTGGATATATTGCCCTCTAAATTTCTGAAGTCCGTCCTGAGCAGTTTGTTACCTTCACTGACACAAATAGTAAACATGTCTCTGTCGTCAGGAACATTTCCTATGGCCCTAAAAACAGCAGTCATAAGACCTCTCCTAAAAAAGAGCAGTCTGGATCCTGCGGGACTTCAAAATTATCGCCCCATATCGAATCTACCATTCATTGGAAAAATTCTTGAAAAAGTGGCCTCCCAACAACTTACTGAATTTTTAACAATGAATAATTCTTTTGATATGTTCCAGTCTGGGTTTAGACCCCACCACAGTACTGAGACCGCTCTAGTGAAGGTAACAAACGACATTCGACTTCACACTGATGCAGGTAAAGTCACAGTTTTGGTCATGTTAGATCTTAGTGCCGCGTTCGACACTGTCGACCATGAGATCCTCATGCAGAGACTGGAGGACTGGGTTGGTGTCACTGGCACAGCCCTAGACTGGTTTAGGTCTTACCTGGAGGATAGGAAGTACTTTGTGGAGATTGGAGACTGCGTCTCAGATCATGTGGCCCTGACCTGTGGAGTACCACAGGGGTCGATCCTGGGACCTCTCCTATTTAATCTCTACATGCTGCCGTTAGGTCAGTTAATACAAAGAAACAAAGTGTCCTACCACAATTACGCCGACGACACTCAGATCTATGTCTCACTGACTGCAGGAGAACATGGACCACTGGATTTGCTCCTTCACTGTATCCAACAGATCAGTGACTGGATGCAAAATAATTTCCTCCAGCTAAATGCAGACAAAACCGAAATCATTGTCTTTGGTCCCCAGAAACAAAGAGAGGGCGTCATTTGTCAACTTCAGTCTCTCTCCCTACTTCCTTCAGACAAGGTCAGAAATTTGGGGGTAATACTGGACTCAGACCTAAATTTCAATAGCCACATAAAATCAATAACATCAACAGCTTTTTACCATCTGAAGAACATTGCCAAAGTTAGAAATATAGTGTCCAGGGCAGACTTGGAGATTCTTGTCCATGCATTTGTCTCCAGCAGGCTAGACTACTGCAATGGCCTGCTCACAGGTCTGTCCAAACAGACCTGTAAGCAGCTGCAGTACATCCAAAATGCAGCAGCTAGAGTCCTGACAGGAACCAGGAAGTATGACCATATTAGTCCGGTCCTCAGGTCTCTGCACTGGCTTCCTGTGGCTCAAAGAATAGATTTTAAAACAGCTCTGCTTGTGTACAAGTCTCTCCATGGCCTTGCACCAGAATACATTAGTGACATGTTGGTGTCATATGAACCGGCCCGGACTCTGAGGAGCACAGGGACTGGCCTCCTGCTGGTGCCCAGAGTGAGAACCAAACATGGGGAGGCTGCGTTTCAGATTCATGCAGCTAAGATCTGGAACAATCTCCCTGAAAATGTGAGGGAGGCGTCTACTCTGTCAATGTTCAAATCCAGGTTAAAGACTGTTCTGTTTGCCTTTGCATACAACTGAAGGATTTTATCTCCATTTCTAATGCACTGCTGTCATTTATTTATTTTTTTAAATTTCTTGTGTAATTTTGAAAGTTTTAATGCTTTTATTCGTTTGTGTGATTTTAATGTTTTAATTGTGTTTTAATCTTTTGTGTGATTTTAATGTTTTAATTGTGATTCTGGCGTTTGTTTTATGTGATGATTTGTGATGTGGACTGTGAAGCGCTTTGTGTTGCCCTGTGTATGAAAGGCGCTCTACAAATAAACTTTGATTGATTGATTGATTGATAGTTTCTCTTACTTTTTTTCATCTTCTGTGGCAGAAAATACAAGAGGGTGGATTTAAAAAAAAAAAAAACCCCGCAGATGTGTGCACTGTATACTATAACATAACATTCGACTTACTGTTGGGGATGAACTGGAGCGCGCTGCTGAAGATTCAGAAACGTGACAGTCCTTCTTTCGGTCCATCAGACAAGAATTCATGACCCAAACCATTACCACACTTTCCACAGCACACCTGAGAATCACAAAAACAAAATACACACAATTATTTAACTGTCTACCCTTCAATTTATTTGTTATTACCTCCTCTCATATTGTATACATCTCATATAAGTCTAAACTATTTGAGTGTGTGACAATATACATATTTTATAATTTAGTGTTGTAGAACTCAGACAGCAAAGAGAATTCACCTTTAAAGGACCCCATGCTTCAGGGTGTTTGGACACACTGTCTGGGTGAATGGTCTGTGAGAACGCAGGCCAAGGAGAGGAGTGCTGAAACTTTGAGCTGCTGGAGAACAACTCATGGCCACACTCCGAACACACGTATATGCCTTGTATATAAAAACAATGTGAATAAACAAACTCAACAGAAGCCAAGACCAGGCTGCTCACCGGGGTGGAAATGGTGAGTGTACTCCTCTCCTCCAGAAAATGAACAGTATGACATATCGTCCATGTTTTTCTCCTTTGAACTTGATCTGAAAATAACCTGCTGTTCAAACTGACTTGTGTAATGTCACGTTATACTCAGTACAGCCACATGAGGGCAGCACTCGATAGATTAGGAGCAAGGACAACGTTTGTACAAGAATTTATTTCAGTTATGCACATACATTAACGTACATTTTTCATAAATAATACAACAAAGAAGTCAGGTAAAAGTAAAATGTTATGAACAAATCGGACCATAACATGCTACCTTCATCTTGATTAAAATGCAAGTTGTCTTGTTTGTTTTGGCTGAGTGAGGGTATATGGAGGACCAAAGCTGTCAAAATAATAACTAAATGTCATAATCTGCACATTATTATTAATATAACGCTACAAATTATGAGATTAACAAATGTATATTATTATTACACAATGTTTTTTGGTTCAAAACAACAAACTAAATTAAAAAGCTTTATTATTTTGTTTGGAACTAAAAAACGTTGTGTAAAAATAATATATATTTATTAAATCTCATGATGTTATTTTATCTTATTCATTATTGGTAGAATTTATTTATAATTTTTACAGTTTTGGTCCTCCGTAGAGGGTAGTCCCCTGATATTTTCTTTTCTGTCTGAAAAAGCTGGTCTAAATGATGCTACCTCTGAATTAAACTGTAAATGCATCCCCTCTTGATTCATTGCATTTATTGATTTATTTATAAATATCCATTTCAATTCTAATAATTCTGGTATAAAATAATTATGCTTACCACTAAATATGATCTGTATTCAAATCAATCTAAGAGACTGTAATGTGGTCAGATGTCACAGTTCTTCAAAGCTCTGGTTTTCCGGAAGGCTTGTACCAGACCTCGTCATACAACGTCCGAACCTTGAACAGCTCAGAGACTGATCCCGCAGCAGATCCAACTCACTTTATTGTCCGTCAACCTTGTCTAAAAGTGAGATTAATACATGGCATTAAAATATGTGTGGGATTATTGAACAGTTTAATATTCTCTGACCTTTAGGGATGAACTTCAGTGAGCTGCTGAATATTCAGAAGCGTGACTGTCCTCTGGATGGTCCATCATTTACAAACTCGTGACCCAGGCCGTTGCCACATTTCCCACATCGCACCTGCACAAAACAATAAGTATAGAAATCATATTTATTCTGAATAACTCATAATTGTTATTTGACATGCAGAAAACTTTAATGCAAGAGACAAATGTATGTTGAAGCACCTTGTATGCCCCAGGTCTTTCTTCATGCTTGGACACACTATTCTCAAGAAGAGTCTCTGTGAATGCAGGCCAAGGAGACGAGTGGTCATACTTGGATCGACTAGAGAAGAGCTGGTGGTCACACTTTGAGCAGACATAAATACCTGACGAGAAACACAATCATTTATTCATAGACAACATAGATTTTCTTGGTTAGGGTTAGAGCAAAGCATGTTGTTTATAAATGACTACTTCATTCATATCAAATAATTCACGGAGCTTAGCAATACTAATGGTTTTAACACATCGTGTGCAGTTTGTGACTAGTTCACGTATTATCCTTGTGTTATCACACCGAGCCTGTGTGTTACATGTGCAGCTGTTATGTAAAGGTGTCTAGCTACATAACGCTGTCCATTCTTTCCAAAGAGAATCGTTAACAAAAGTTTGTAGCAGCGCCGTGTACTCACTTACCAGGCTTGAAATGGTCTTTAAAGACCTCGCCTCCAAAGAATGAGCAAAAAGACATACTTTTAAACCTTATTCCCTGAGACAGGGGAAGGTTCAGCATAAAAAGTAAACTTTAGGAACACTTCCGGTTGTGACAGTTTTTCAAAATAAACCCAATTTCCATGTGGACAACTTCCTGTCTCATTTTCTAAACTAGGTTTACTAATAGACTGTATATATTACTCAAGGCTCTGTTTCTGTGTATAAAAATAACACTTTTCACAGATAAATAATACGTTAAAAAAATCATATTAGTATTTTTGTTCAATTTTTTGGGCTGGGTGGCAATGCCTGGCCAAAGTTTGTATTTAGTGTGAGATGTTCTGTTTATTTAATGTATTAATTTATTTTCTGAGTATCTAGTTGTGATCGTTCCTTTGCGACAGGATATTATAATATTTAGGAGCTGTTGTATGATTGACTTGGTAGAGATAATCGCTCATAAACACATTACGGCATAAACGGTGCACAGCATGGCGCACGCCCATCTCTTTGACGCAGACGCAGCACAAAGAGGAGGAGTCGCCGTCTCCTGTTGGATTTGAGTTTAATCTGGATTAAAGTTTGGTCCGGTGACAGTCTACGGCTATGAATCCAGTAATCATATTATCCTATGTAGGGCTGCGTCAGGGGCATGCTGGGCCAACGCCACGTAGCTGTCACAACGTCACAATGTTTCTTTAAAGGCAACATTGTAGACTCACGCACGCACCACTCACATACATGTTTCAGAGATAAATCATGGGCCCTTGAGGATGGCAGGAGCGAAGAGAAGCGCTGAGAAGAGAGAGCACATGCGCCGCAGCATCCAGACCCTGCAGCAGGAATGCAGCAGCAGAACGCTCTGAGAGTACTGCGTCAAAAAAAGCATCATTCAGGTGAGTTCTTACCTACTGCATGCAACAAAGTTATCAAGTTTTATGTTCTCGTTATCTGATCAACTGCAGTATGTGTGGGCTGTGGATGCGAGGAAACTTTTAAATTCACGTTCGCTTGTCTCTGTGTTATTTGAATACTTCTTATTTTGTTTATTAATATGTTGCTCATGCGTTATGCCACGCAACAGGGTATGGTTCTGTATTAGTAATTTAATATTTGATGAAACCTCCCCTTATAGATTAACAAAGAGCATTGCACCTGCCCTAACATAAAAGTTTCACTATCTGTTGATGAGAGATTTTTTTTAATATTTATAACACATCAGAAAATATTTAGCAGCTATTGAATATGCTCTCCAAAATAGTATATAGCACACAACTGATCTGGATTATGATAAGCTAGGATATCATTTCCTATTCTATTATATTCTAATATCTTGTGTGGCTTGAAAGAACTGCTCATGAGCTTTTGTCATGTTGTGGTTTTTGTTCTTCCAGCCTGCCCTTTCACCAATGGACTGACTGAATGAACACACACTGTAAATCATGGAAGAGAGCAAGCTTATCTTCAGCCTGGACTGCTGTGAAGTTGGACCAATAGTGGCGTTTTCCAAAGACAAACCTCAGACCGGCTCTGAGATTGCTGTGGGGATGGAACTCAACCTAAACCGTGGCCACACTTCTCAGGCTCTGACCTTGCCTCACTCGCCTTCATCTCCTGGCTCTCTGGCAGATTTGTGTTCAGCCTGTGAGTCCCCAACCACCTACATAGTCAAATCCTCGTCGTCAGAACTGAAACGAAAGGACGACAGCCCTCTGAAAGGCAAACAGCCGCTCTCTCTGGTTAAGTCCCTCAGCACTGACATTTCCTGTAGTGTGGAAAATGATGAGAATTTATCCAAGTCTGACTCAAAGCTTCATTTGTACCCACGTAAACGACTCGTGCAGCAGAAGATCCCAGAAGCAAAACCAGAACAAGTGGAATTAATAAGCGATAATGACTTCTTGTCAATGGGCTGCTCTTCTCCCATTGAATCTAAAGGGAGCTCTCTGATTGCAGAGTTTGAGGACACACGGCGTAAATTTTCAGAAGCTATGCAGGATCCTCTTTCTATGTTCAGTAAGATGATTGGTGATGAAAGCCCCAAAGAAGGACGAACTATAAGTACAGGAGACTCCACGGTTTCCTATACGCAAGACGGGAAAAGTCGCAAAAGAGCAGACAGTGAACACAAAGGCAGTTTGGAGACCCATCTTGGGAATTTCTACAAAAGATCATTTGTAAAATCACCTACAACACCAGAACATCATGAGAATACAGAGGGTGAAATGTGTTCATCTGAGGATATAATGCAGGTTTTGGAGGATGATGCTAAGACTCAGGAAACAAGTTATAGAAGTCGATACTATTATCAGAACATGCTCTCAGGTCCCTCATTGCCTCTGTACTGGCTCCTACCTGTTGGACTTATGGCATATGGCTTCTTTGTTCTCCCTCTGCCCCCGTATGTGACTGGCCTTTCTGTGGGTGTGGCATGTGGATTCCTTTTGGGGCTGTTTGTTGTCTACACATTTGCACCAAGAAAAGCTTTTATCAGAAGAAAGAGAAGGCCTAATATAACACCATTATGTCATAAACAGCCAGAAGAAGGAATTCTGGAGGTAAACAAGGTTACCGTACAAACTTAATTCCGTTTCTACCTTGTTATTACAAAATCTATTGAATGTTTTGCAATCAGAAAGACTCCAGCCTCTATTTGCCTACATATGCAAATGTTGAAGTCCATGTATCCTTCACTTTGTGCACTGTTCACTGTAGGTTCTCCCAATAGCTGCTTTCCAGCTAAAATGTTGCTGATTTCAAGTCTATCTAATAATAATAGTATCTTCTATTCCTTCACAAAGTAATGGTTGTTTCAGAGTCAATATTCTAAATGAGGAAGATGTGCATGTCTCATGTTCCCCACCTGCTGAGCTTTGCTGTCGCAGCATGATGGATTTAATTAGCCTGAGTATGGTATTTTTTCATAATATATTGTGGAAATAACGCTACAACTTATGCAACTCAGCCAAAAAAATATATTGATATCAATTATATATCAGCCAAAATAATATATTACACAACACTGCTTATAAATGTATGGATACAGTACACATGTTTTCATAAATATCATGATTTTTTTCAGGGTTGGATGAATGAAACATACATTTACGATGCTGAGACTTTCCATCCTTCAGCCTCACACTCTGTGTACGTGTCACTGGTGGGCAGTCGCCTGCAGCTCTCTGTCCCGAGTTCAAACATCCCCCGATGGGCATCACTCAACAAACCCCCCCCAGAGCCTGATGCCTTTGAGCACTCGCGAGTCTTTCAGCTCACCGACTGCAAGGTCAGTGACAACGGTCATCCTCAAAGGTCCTGATCCACCATGTTCTTTCAAAAAGTCAAAGTGACTCCGACAAATAAAAGCTGGTTGGCCAATTTTAGGCACAATATGCAAGGTTTTTAGTTTTGCTTGGAATGTTCTGCAGTAACAACATTACTATAAGACTTTTGGTTTGTGACTGTAGAGATGATGCCATTATATTTTCACAGGTATCCCTGTTGCCTTCTGGTTTGGCACGAAAAAGGATATGGAACAAGAAGTACCCCATCTGCATAGATCTTTGCCCGGGAGAAGGCGATGTACAGGAGCAGGGTAAAACATCCAGCCTTTACCTGTTCGGCCGCACAGGCAGGGACAAGGAGGAGTGGTTTCAGCATTTTATTTCTGCTTCCAAGCCTGAGACAACCAGCAGTGAACGAGATGAGGGAAAATCCAGTAAGAGAAAGAAAATATGTTTAAACATTTATCTTCCACATAATATTTTACATTTGTTTGTACCAGATGCAGCATGTGTTGGAGAAACTGTTCAAGAGGCTTGTGAAGAGCTGGTCGACTTGACGGGAGCTATGAAAACAAGGACTTTGATGGACTACAGCACCTACATGGCTCAGCTGATCGATGCTGAGAGTCATGAAGCTATCTCGAGTCCAAAGGAGAAGGAAGTCCCCCTTGTGTCAAAAAACAATGAGGTTCGGTGATTAGGGATTATGTCACTCATTGCACTACTGTAATAGAAATATCAGCAGATTGTGTTTTTTTCTGAAGGCCTACAAATGGATTTATTCAGTATCAAAATATATTACTTTCAGATAACAATAATTTGATCTTAAATGATCATTTCAGATTGTGGATACAGACAGCACACATGGTGTTCTGCCAGGAGAAGAGGTGGCTGCAGATGTGGGAACCCCTGGGATCTCAGGAGAGGAACAGTGCCACTGGATAAACTCCCTTGTTGGACGAATTTTTTGGGACTTTCTTAGGGAAAAGTATTGGACTGACCAGGTGTCACACAAGATTCAGAAGAAACTCAGCAAGATCAAGGTGTGAAAGATAATCATTTGTTTCCCTTGCGACTCCGTATATACCCACTCGTTTACGAAGCTTGTATTTTGCCCACAGTTGCCCTACTTTATGAATGAACTGAAACTGGCAGCTCTTGACATGGGCACTTGTCTTCCTCAAGTCATCAGCACATCAAAACCAGCACTGGATCACAGAGGTAAACCGGATCTCTGACAAATGTTTCTCTTCGCACTTGTTTTAGCTAGATACGTATACATAGAACCATTTTTTTTTATGAAAGCTTAAATACTGATGTGATTGACAAATTGTTAAATAAACCCCTCTCAGTGACAGCTCTGCAGACAATCTAGGACACTGGTTAATTTATTTCACTGTCAAATTTACCTTTTAAACCCTTCCATTGTCTGCCGAGTAATCTTCTTAGCATCAGTCTAAGCCTAACTACAAGCTCAAGTGATTGTTTGTCACCTGTGCCCCTGCAACCTCCTCATTTAGACAGTGTATTCCAAACCTTGTGTTTTGGGGATTGCAGGTCTTTGGCTGGAAATGGATGTGACGTACTCAGGGTGCCTTCATATGACCCTCGAGACAAAGATGGATCTGTGCAAGTTGGGCAAAGATGGTGAAGTCCAAACTGAAAGTATTCAAGAGTCTCCGCAGCTTAGGTGATGCTCCTTCCAGTTAAAAATGTATGCAGCAAAATATATAATTGTTTATTTTTTAATCATTCAGCCCTTTATTCCCCCAGCTCTAAACCACGACAGTCCATACTAGCTGACAGTGACGAAGAGTCATCCAGTGCTGGGTCATCCGATGAAGAGGATGTCTTTGAACCGCTCGGTCCCCCAGGAGAGAAGAGCACGGTTGTAGTGCCCGATGGGTAGGTCATCTGTTCAACAATATTTATGAGTTTTCTTGTACTGATCTTTTTTTACGAGAGAGTTTGTTAATGTATTTATATTTTAAACTCAGATAAGTCTAGTGCAAGTACTTCACTATATCAATACAATATCAAAATGAATGAGCCATAAATGTACAATGGCCTCTTATATCTATGTATAGTTTACCTATGAACAGGACTTTTTAAATGTACTGTTCGGGATGAAAACCACTGGGATGTAGTTTAAAAAAAAAAAAATCTGGGATGTAGTTTAAAAAAAAAAAATCTTTCAAAAAAATAGGATTTCTTGAACTGTATTTACTGACCTTTTGTTTTTCATTTATGTATGCCTTGAGTCTGAACATTCTGATGAAATAAGATATTGTCCATTACATTTTCTGTTTGTTCTGTAATATTTGCAGCGGGAACAGCACGGGTAGAAAGTTTCTCCAATTTGTGGATAAGATTGCGAAGTCCAAGTACTTCCAGAAGGCCACAGAAAATGAGTACATCAAAAAGAAGATTGCAGAAGTGTCCAAGATGCCGCTGATGCTCAGTGTGGAGGTCCAGGAGTTGTCCGGGACTTTGGCCATCAACGTCCCCCCACCCCCAACTGACAGAATATGGTAATAACTCATTCTACAAACAAAAATGTGTTAGTTGTTTGTTTAGACCTATTTCTATTGTTGAGCTGTTAATGATCACTATTGTTTTTAATATGAAAACGTGAAATATTTGACTTTGTATATTTTAGTATAGCTCTAAATGAATGGGGGGGTGCACGTACCTATCTTTCAAACCACCAGATTTTTTGATCATGCCACATTCAAATAGTGACTAGTTAGTTAGGTCACCCAGCTTTAATTCTAAGGTTTTTAACTAGAAAGTGAATGGCCTTATCTGTGTTGTTCAAGGTCCAAATTCTTTGTTTTTTCAATATAAAAACAGTATTGGTATATATGTTATTATAATATATGTATAATTTGGTAGAACGCCATAAGTATAGGGTGAAGTATGATATCACACTGTAAAATAAATTTTCAGATTTTTCCTTCTTTTGACCTTGAAGGTACAGCTTCCGTGTGCCTCCGCAGTTAGACCTCCACGTCAGGCCTATGCTTGGGGAGATGGAGGTCACATTCACACATGTTACTGAGTGGATAGAAAAAAAGCTTCAGTGCGAGTTTCAGGTATCGGTTGTTTTTTTCTTCATCATGCATGCAGACTTGGCTTTGATATCTCAAATATTGCTTTTGTGTTTTAAACAGAAAGTATTTGTAATGCCCAATATGGATGATCTTTATCTGCCACTGATGACTTCTGGCCTGGACACTCACAGCGGTGCACCTGTGTCCCAGCATTCATCTGTGGCTTCATCCCAACAATCCTCTGTAGAGTCTCAGGACTATTTATCCGAATAGGCACAAAGAAGGATGAGGTAAAAGTGTATGTGTCTGGAGCTGAAGTGGCCTGAGGGGACAGACCTGACCCCCCTCCACCTGGGGGATGATCTCACACTGCCCCCTGGTGTTCAGAGCGGTGGAATGTGCCAGAGTGTCTTGAAGCTGTTATTCCTAAAAGGTATTTTAAGGCCAAAGTGAATGACATTTTGCATGACAAATCAGAGCTTTATGAAGCACAATCTGTGTTCCGTTTCCTATGAAGTGTTCTATTTTTGCATGTGATTTTGAAAAATGAATTAAACAGGCCTTTTTATATATTTAATAAGACTATTTTATGTAACATTTTATACTTCACTTATTAGATTGTTGTGCTGTTTTGATCCAATTGGTGTTAAGACTCTTCTGCCTGAGGCGCTGTGACAGTGCTCACCACATCTTTCTTCAAAGGCCCCTGTAGAAAATTATTAAAAACAGATCGTTATGATCGTTACGGACAAATGTTTAGTAGATGGCTTTAGTAGCTCATCCATACCATGAAAGATCTCTTCTCCAGTGCAGTCTGGAAACGTCCAGTACCAAACTTGGAAGTGGTGTCAATAAACTTAAGCTCAATCTCTTCTTTGGATTTGCGAGATGTGTGCACAAGTAAAGACTGCCAAGAGAAGGCGAGGGAATTAGGTTAATGGAATTTTCAATGATAACATTACAAAGGATAGTTGGTACCTTTCTCAATGTGAGAACACGCTTCTTGAATCCAACGACACATCCTTTCAGCATGACAAAATCATTGTTCACCTCACCGTAGTGTGGGAAGCCTCCCTGAAGATGGATGCATCAGAAGGTGACAACTGATGAATGTACAGACATAATAGACAAGAGAATACCATGGGAGTGATGGCTTTCTGGCTGGTGTCATAGTTAGTGGAAGCATTATTCTTTATGACTTTTCCATCTTGCATGTGAACTCCTTTGCCAATGCGATAAATCTGGAGAATAGAGATAATGTATTACTATGTATAATTAACACCCAGTTATTTGACTGCTCTGACTCACTTTCTTGTTGAGTTCTGTGCGGTGATTGTATCCTTTCTGACCGGCACGAGCAATAGTGTATCCGACCCGAGACGGATGCCAAGCTCCGATGCAGGCCACTTTCCTCAAACCCTTGTGAGTTTTCCGAGGAAGCTTTTTTGTATGCCATCGGCTTGTAACACCTGCGTATATGGTCATTATGTGTAAGGTTCAAACATCACAAAAATAAACAATTTACAGAATAACCTTTAAAGCCATGGCCTTTGGTGACACCAATGACGTCGATCATTTCGTCCTGGTAAAAGACAGCCGAAACTGGGACGGCCTGCTCAAGACGCTCCTTGGCCCAGTCTACTTTATCAGATATGGTGCCTCCGTTAAGCTGCACCTCCATAATGTGAGCTTTTTTCTGCTTAATGGGTATCAAGCGCATCTGGAGAACAAAGAGATATAAGATACAATAAACCTTATTCTTCCCTCAGTGGGGAAATTTCAATGTCTTTGTTACGCACATTACAGCAGCATAAAAGGAGAAATTAAGAGCACTCCGGTTGCACACATCAAACAGGATCTATTATTTAAGATAATTGATCATCATATCATAAGAAATGATACTAAAGATTGATATTCCAGATCAGGATGAGATTTTCCTTTTATTGCCATTGTAACTAACAGGAAGTCAATTTGAATATATAAATACACTACACACAATGGCCCTCCTTTATCTGTGTGTGATGAGATTAAGGATCTTCTGGCTCTTTTAAAAAAATGTTGTATTGTTTTATGGCAAATTCTCATGTTTACTGCCCATACTACTCGAGGCAGTGCCTGTGTGAGTGCAGAGTTCACTTCTCCCTGAAAGATTATTTTTAAACTGCCATTTGAAACGACAGCCCTCACTGCCTGCTGCTCATAATTTAGAGACGAGTTTTTCCACCATGGCAATAAGTAAAGATCCTAAACATCTGCCTTTTTTATTTTCCACACAAATCACAGCATTTCAGTTATGCAGCGTGTTACGTAAGTCAATGACAATGTACCTGGGAGTGCACTAAAACTCTGATCGCGGAGCAGTATTTCTTCATTGCTGCGAAATCTTTGTCCAGTTGTTTCTTCCCTGTCTCATCCTGCCACTTTTTACTGTATTTGGTGAAAGCCTTCTTCTTGCTCTTGTACCTACAAAGAAAAACAATTACGCAAACAGACAAAACCACATATGTTTATAGCTTTATGCACTCACCAGTTTCTGTAGAATCTTCGCTTGCACTCATCGCTTATATGTTCAGCAAAGACGGTCTTCAGTGCACGCAGGCCACGGACAGTGCTGACATATCCTACCACACCCACCACAATGACTGGTGGAGTATCAATGATGGTCACTGCTTCAACCTCCTCACGCTTTGATTGTTCTGCAAAGATTGTTTTATTACTAACCTTTTTTTAAACAAGCAACAAAATTACAAAAGCACATTGAACATACTGAGGCCAGTGCGGTGCATTTCCCTTAGTGTGTGGGTCATGCCAGCTTTATAACCCAGAAAAGCTGTGAGGTGAACAGGCTGGGTTGGATCATCTTTGGGCCAAGAACGCACTCTTCCCCTGTGTCTTTTGCTTCGCTTGTGAGGCAGAAAGCCCAAATGCCCGTGGCGAGGGGCTGAGAATTTACGGTGAGACTGGAGTAGACAAGATTACACAAGAACAGTTTGACACAAGACACAATTTCCTCACATTACTTTTGGTTATAGATTAGGAGTTGAATGTTTAGTGTTGAGTAGAGGTCTAAGAAATAGAAACACAAATACAATAAACTGACATTATTGTTAGACCATTTGGAATAGTGAGAGTTCATTAAAGTTTGTTACATGCAAAGTGCAAACACAGAAACAAAGCAACACATAAAAGTAGCAAAAATATCACAAAACGTTCAGGAGCCACTGACCATGGCAGCACGGTGGAGGCAGAAACAGAAAGAGAGAAGGGCAGCCTTGATGTTCCTACATGAGATGGATTCTAATTTCGTGTCTGGCCTAACTGAGAAGCTGTATTCACTTTCAAATAGGGTTAACTGTGCCAAGTAGTCAAGAGGTGTGCGCAGGCTTCTCTAGAGAGACAAAATATATGATAAAAAAATGACATAAAAGATAATTCTATAGAAATGACTCATTACAGAAATGGTAATGTTTAAGTTTGATACTGGATATGAAGAAAAATAATAGCAGATAAAGTCACTAAAGTGTATAATCAGTACAATGTATTATACAGTTTGTTTATTTGGTTGGTATAGTGTGCATTAATGAACAGCAGTGCTGTAAATCAACCAGATTGTACCCATGGGCCAATTTCCATCTAGTTTTAATGTTACATTACCTTAAATACGCTCACTACAGTTGAAATGACCAGTTTAAAGTTATATTGAAAAGTTCTTCCATGACTACTGTTGAAATTATTATTGAATCTTGATGAGCTATAGATATATAGATCTATCATGAAAACGGAGTTTTCCTTGTTTTTGGCTCCATCTACAAGTAATAATAAGAACACAGGCATGGAGGAAAAAATATATTACAACCATACAAAATTTAATTGGAAATGGGTTTTTTAGATTAAAAATGTAAGTATTCATTGCCATAATGTGTAAAAAATAAAAAATAAAGTACATTTAGCAAATCAGATTGACCTCTAGCGCCATCATTGCTGGTTCCTGTGCGCATGCGTGAGTCTCTAAAGGAGAGCTGTTGAGGTCGAGCTGGAGGATACTTTTTAATTTGGGTACAATACGAGAATAAAATGCCGGATTTTGATAAGGATGCTTACCCGGAGCCTCCCAGGAAAACTCCTGCACCAAATAAGCAGAGTGCTCTCCCGGATCCAGCTTTAATCTTGACAAAGCTTTTCTATTACTCCGTGGACTTGCCTGTCACCACATTCAGAGGTAATGCTAATGCTAAGTGAAGCTAACAACACCATCACATACATGCACGTCTTCATGGATAGAGCCATTGTGGTTTGCTTTTATTATAAAACGTGTAGCATTACCATGGATCCATTATAGCATAACTTATCATGTACTTGCTCGTAAATGATTTCCCATGCTGCTGTACATGACTGTAGTCAAAAGTAAGGTAAAGACTGTCTGATTTCTTCTGCTCTTCCACAAACACACTGTCACTTCATAACATGATCTGATTGGGCAGAGATACAAATGAATTACTAAATATTTTGAATTAAAAAAATGTAATCTCAAGGGCTTCAAAAAATCTAACCTTTGAATAACATTTCTCATGTCTGCTGTTTACACATTTGTTTTTTAGCCCTTAATGTTTACAAGCCAAAGGAAACCCCTGTGATAATCAAATTGAACTGTATATGATATTGTTCACAAATTATATTTTGACTGTTTTTTGTTTAGGTATTGTGGACACTGTTCGTTCCAACAACAAGTCCGTGTACTACCACCAGAAATTCCGTCGAGTTCCTGACCTGACTACGTGTGAGGAGGGGGATTACCTGTGCTACTATGAAGCAGACATGCAGTGGAGGAGAGACTAGTAAGTGTAAACAATATTTTTGATGTGCATGATACTACTAGAATACTGTGAGTCTAGCATAACATGATATATAACATAGGGATAAAAAACTAACAGTATATTATTTGTTCCAAAACCTTTTAATTTGCCCCCATGGTCATGCACTGACTGCAGATTATTCACATTTGTATAATTTATCCACTAACCAAAGGTGTGCCAATTTGACTTTTTCTGCTAAATTCTGGCTTAACCCTATGATGAAATATAAGGGGTATCTTGATTTTGGCTTGTCGTGACTGGTTATGGCGGAAAATAAATGCATAAATATAAAAACAATTATTCCTTCAGTAAAGTGGACCAGGAAATACTGAAGATTGTCCAGGAGCGAATGAGGGCCTGTCACCAGAGAGAAGGGAACAGTTATCAGCAAAACTGTGCAAAGGAAATTCAGCAGTTCACTGATGCGAGCAGAGAATTCCAGTCACGCTGTGAGTATTGTATAATTCAACTTTAAAAATTGCCATAACAATACTATAATTCTCTTTTATAGATGGAGACCTTGGGGCCTATGCCAATTCACGGAAATGTTTAATGAAGCAAAAACAAAGAATGATGGAAGCTCAGGCCCAGAGTGCTTAAAATCTATGGCTGTTGTACTGTGCAATAATTGTAAAATAAAGTTTGGACCGATCTACACTTGTCCCACGATACTACTTGAATCTTGAGAACCTTTGAAAATATACCAGGTGTACAAGATATTATATACATATTTGCATCCAGTATTCTAATTACTGTAGTGATGGGCCATAAGTCAAAACATCAACACATCAGGAAGTGACGTGCGTTCACCAGTGTCTTTGGAACTATTTGTTCTGTAGGTCTCATTTTAGAACAGTTGAATTAGTTTTAGAGGGGCCGACACCATTTGTTCCAAGAGTGAGAATCAAGTTAAGGTCATCAAACAGGCCTTCTGAATTGTTTTTATCTTGTTCTAAATGTTTAACTTTCACCAGTATCACTTTAATCATTCAAATGAAACTGAGGAAGACTAACCTCGCACTCTCTGGATACGTTACCTCAGTGATACTTTCAAAATGTTGTCTTGATTCACATTCATTTACACTGATTTGCAGTAAAGACATCTCAGCTTGACCAACGTTGCCATTTACAAAACCAAGTAACTTTCCTGTAGAAAAGTTTGTATTGATCAAGTATGACGGCATTTGCTGCCGAAGCCTGCAGCAAATAGAACCCTCTACTTAGCTAAGAAACATAGCTACTACTTTATATATTGTTTGCCCCCTGTGCACTCTTACTACTGTCCTATAAGTGCGCGGCAACATCGAAATTTCCGCACTGTGGGACAAATAAAAGGAATTCTTTAGTCCACTAAAAGAATGTAAATTCTGTCTAAATTTCATTTTTTCAAATCTGCCAGTTTTAAAATTGGTTAAAGTATCTTTTCTAGTTTCAATGTTAGTATTGATAAGACTGAATGCATACACATGAAACCTTTAAGACAAAGATTGCCAAGTCAAGATGTCAAGTTTCAGAAATGTTTTATTGAAACAAATCTGCTGTAAAAAAGCCTTAGGAGGTCGGAGCTCCTACAGCCGACTGAGTCCTCTGCACAGTCACTCTGGTGTGAGTTTTAGCCAGATGGTCAGTGAACTCCTGCACAAAAAAGAAACTGTCAATAAAATTGTTTGGTTCCACTGAAGAAAAATAAAGCAAAACAGCACAGACCTGGTATGGAGACTTTGTGAAGACAGTTTCCTTCCAGAGGTCAGGAGTCAGGTAGCTGTAGGTCTTGGAGATGGCATCGAAGGTGGCCTTGGCTGAAGTGACAAAACAAGTCCAAGTCAGTTTTAGTTTGAGACAACACAAAGCTTAAAACTCAGCAATAGGTGGGTTAATATTGGCCATTAATATTCAGCAATGGTGCCACACTTTCCATTTCACAATTGCACTAGATTTAAAACTGAACACATGCTTGGATTTGGTCTACAGTACAATACAGTACATTTTACAATTATCCTTAAAGCGAAGTCCATAGAATAACTTTATTGAGCTCATAATTTTTAATACATTGTTAAATCGTGATCAATTGGAGAAATTTAAATAAACCTCCAAATAGTTCGACCTGCAGCTTGTAGAGTAATTACATGGGGAACAGAGAAGACTAGAAAAGTCTTTCTGCCGTGCACTTCAAACACTCGTTAATTTCTCTCCTAAAAACGACAACTACACCACTGCAGGTGAAGCTGAGCAGAGCAAGGAGAAAGGTCACGAAAGGTCTAACAGGAGCCTCACCAAAGTTTCCAAGTGTGGCCGTGCATCCTCTGGCAGAGGTGTAGCAATCGTCGATACCAGCCATCATGAGCAGCTTCTTGGGCACGGGTGCAGACACGATTCCAGTACCACGAGGGGCAGGGATCAGACGCACCAGGACAGATCCACAGCGTCCAGTCACCTTACAGGGGACGGTATGGGGCTTTCCGATTTTGTTACCCCAGTAGCCTCTCCTGACTGGGACGATGGACAGCTTAGCCAGAATGATAGCTCCACGAATAGCGGTGGCCACTTCTTTAGAGCACTTCACTCCCAGGCCAACATGACCGTTGTAGTCTCCAATGGCAACAAAGGCCTGTAACATTGATAGTTAATTTCAATATTCCAGACTATGCAGGCGTAGGCATTTTAATAACTCACCTTGAACCTAGTACGCTGTCCAGCTCTAGTCTGTTTCTGAACAGGCATGATTTTAAGAACCTCATCCTTCAGACCAGAGCCCAGGAAAAAGTCAATGATCTCTGACTCCTGAGAAAAGAACCAAACATCTACTTACTAAAAGCTGGGGTACACAACTTAAAAATTCATAATGTTTTGTTATTTATTAACTTATTTTACAGGGTTGAGGTCAGAGTTTAACAAAACAGCTATAGAATTCTTTAGACGATTACAGGACGTACTTTGATGGGAAGAGAGTACAGGTAGATCTCCTCCAGAGACTTGATCTTCATGTCTTTAACCAGGCGGCCCAGCTTGGTAACAGGAACCCACTGCGACACAATCGAACATTAAAACACCACTATTTGAAACCATAATTTCAAATTAAAGTAAGAGCACTTACTTCCTTGTCTTCGGACTTTCCTCCACGTGCACCGCGTCCACGACCACGACCTCTGCCGCGTCCACGGCCCCGTCCGCGGCCACGATCGCCAAAGCCTCCGCGAAAACCTCCTCTACCACCGGCGTCGTCCGCCATTTGCTGCACAATCACAACACTGGGTTAAACATTGTGAAGTTATTGAAGTCTGGGTTTGGGAAGTATTCATCTTCTACGACACAGTAAGGCGAGCATCATTCTAGCAATTGGACGCTTAATTTTTGCATTAACATTTCGAAAACTGAGTCAATATGATTCACAATTGATGTAAAAATGCTTTAATACAATCATCAGAATAAAAATAGCTTCAAGTAATAACAGATGGAGAAGATGTTTTAGAGTTGATTGGAACAGGTAAAAAACACAGCAGACTTACGTGATCGTTTAAACAGGAAGAAGAACGTAGAGCAGTTCCGCCGGGGTTTGTTGATATTTGTCATCGCGAGATTTCACGAGAACACAAGAGTTACTATTACTGCCATCTATAGGTAACCTTTCATATTGCTATGAACAGAACTTTATTCATTTTGAGTTATCAAACATTATTGTTGCACAGGGGAAAGTACTTTGACATCGAATCTCACTCAAATTACAATAACATACCGTTTTTCAGCACTTTGGTACCCCTAGGCTGTTTTGCTTTATAAATGTATTTACATTATAAAGATATATAACTATATATTTATAGTTATATAACTATATATTTATAATAGCCTACAATTAATTTATAATAGTGATAGTTCACATAATGAGCCCATCAGCCCAACAACAACAACAACATCACTTGCCCTGTAATGTTGCATTGTAACTTGAAGACGGCATTTTACCTGGAGAATTCCATGGAAATAATATAGAACCAGGCTCCTAGAAATATTCACTGCAGAATAAATACAATTTCCATGGAATCAATATAAGGAAGGGGTTTTAAACATTTCAATCAAGGACCCCAGAGGAAACGTGTCACAATCTGATCTGTCATGGAATAAGATCTACAGTTGTTATAATTTGTGTCAAGACATGCTAAATCAATTGTTGTGGTGTTTAAGTCATTTGTTGTCATTTGCCCTTTTTTATTTAGTTGATGATTGTATCAAATAATTGGTGAAAAAGCTGTTTGAAATTTATATGACCCTCAGCCAACTCAGAGGACCACTTGCATGTATTTTTTAATGCAGAAATATTGTGATAGTGTTGTTTATTGTTTCACATAGTGATAGTAGGGCTTTAAAACAGAATAATGGAAAGTCACCCATATTCACACCGTAGGCCTATAACACATATACATAGTACACAAAGCATTATGGATTAGCAGTTGATGGTGTTTCCAGAGGTGCTCTCCTCTGGGTCGTCCTCTTCCCCCTCCAGCTGGTTGTCCATTTCCTCCAGACTCTCACAGATCAGGCCAATCTGCCTCTTCATGTAGGCCATAGTACTCTGCATTCGCTTCATCTTCCTCTGGAGGGCAGTGGCGATGGCTTTGTGGTTCCTCTGTCGGGCCTCATAATCCTGCCTCAGCTGTTTGTAACAATTGTGTTGTGCTTGTGTGCTGTGGGAGAGGATGGTTCCACAGCCCATGTGGCAGGGCTGTCTCCAGTGTTCACAGTGCCGAGCGTGAGTGTCCAGGTCCCTGCGCAGGAGCTGTGCACGGCAGCCATGATATGGGCATTGGATCAGCTCATGCAGACAACTCATACTGTGGCAATACTGCTCAGACAGCGGAAAGGTCTCAGCACATCCACGGATCTCATTCTTACACTGCAAACAAACATTGTTGAAATTAGTATGTACTCAAAAAAAATCACCTTTTTTTTTAGCTTACCTTGATCTTCATGCGTCCAATAGATTTACTCAGTTTAAACATGACAAAGATGAAGTTTGGGTTTATTTGCTTTCGACAACATGGACAAGTCTCCTGCCTAAATAGTTTAAAATTAGTTCCGCAAACATTTCAAAACATAGTTATGACTGACTACCTCTTGAGCCACTGCAAAATGCATCTCTTGCAGAAGATGTGGTGGCATGCCGCTCTCACTGGGCACCGGAGAACCCCTTGGCATATGGTGCATATAAGATCATAATCTGGAGTCTCCACAAACATGTCAACATCATAGCCCCCATTTTGGGTTGATGATTCTGTGTCTGCCTAAACAGATTTAAAAAAAACAGTTCAGAAGTTAAGCTAATAATGCATCACAAAACAATTTTTAAAAAAAAAGGTAATTTTCAAGTTACAAGATAAAAACCTATAGAAAAGTGACCATTTGTTCCCCAAACAAAGGAGGCATTCCAGAAAGTCATATGACCTTTCACATGAATCAAAACACCAAACTAACGAAAATCACGTAATAACATCTGTTTTAGATTCAGATATGTTTTTTCAATCTCATGAATATAAACCTAAATAAAGTCTCACATGAAGCCTATCAATCATGAACTCACTATATGAGCCATTTATTACACACATGATAATCATCTTAAATATGTAGTTAGTTGTTTATTTATTCTATACCCACATTACTTCTTGATACATGGCTAAAAGAAAATTAACTTTATAATGTAAATTTATTTAGGAGATAATACAATGCACACATTCACTCACCATGATGGTTGTGGCCTTTTCTCACCGTGTTTCCATCCCCAGTCTGTCTTCAGTCTTACTTCATATCGTCTCTTCGCATGTGCCACACACCCGTGTTATCTGCGCTCGCACACATGAACATTCCTGACAAACCGTGAAGCATGGACTCTCTCGCGAAAGGATTCAGAAAATGATATAAACGCAGAGAGAAAGGCGCTCATTATGCCCTACGTCCATTCCCTGTTGTTCGAGCACTAAACAGACTTCACACGCAACGAGCTTCCACAGCTTCCATTGTCAACGCAAAAACAAAAACACTTATAGACAACGACAAACGCTTTTTTCTATTTCTATAAAGCGTTAAATGTTAGTTGTCAAATATGAATGTGTGGTGTACTGCAATACACAGTAGTTATAATTATTTGTTTCCCCAAATAACATTGATAAATATAAGGTTTAACTAGATTCATACCATAAACTCTGGTAAAAAAGTAACCAATCCCAACTCAGTCCGCTCGAGTGACGTATAATGTGTGCGACTGCCATCACGCGTGGAATGTGTTGACTGAAGCCAACGTGCGAATGAAAAAGAAAAGGAATAATTTCTGAAAACAGACATTCATTTGAAAATTCTTCTATCAAATATGGCAACTGCCAACCTTCAATTCAAAACAAAGTAAGTGTAAAAGCTTTTTCTCGCAGCCTCAGATTATCACAGCTATCTAGCTATCAGAAGCTAATGAGCTAAACTGTGTTATCTGTTTTCAGCTATTCAGTTTTAAGCAAGATCGAGCCTTTTTACAAAGGTGGAAAAGTTCAGGTAAAAGTCCAAAGTTTTGATCCTACATAATTGTTGATGCAAACCTCACTTTTTTGTTTTTGATTTAGGTCAGCAAGGATGAGCAGTTCATGTTTTGCATTAGTGGCTCTCATGTGAATGTGTTAGAAATCTGCACGGGAAAGATCGTCCATAGAATTGAACACGTGAGTGATAATTTACTGAATATATCTGTCACCGTCATAATTTCAATTGTGTATTTTAGGATGATCAAGAGGACATAACATCCTTTGCCCTAAGCTGTGATGATGAGGTGAGTGAATTGTTCCTTGTTTTCCTTGGGGGTAGAATGCTTAAATTGACCATTTCTCTTTGTCTGTCCGGACAGCTGCTTGTCACAGCCAGTCGGGCTCTGCTGCTGAAGCAGTGGGACTGGAAACAAGCTCAATGCACTCGTTCTTGGAAGGCTATTCACACAGTACCTGTGGCCAGCATGAGCTTTGACCCTACTTCAACTCTAGTTGCCACAGGTCAGAAATTTATTTCAGCTATTTTATTTATATTCAGCTTCTGTCATTGTCAATCTAAATATGTGTTATTTATTAATACATTTGCAGGGGGTTGTGATGGTACCATAAAACTGTGGGATGTAGTAAAGCAATACTGCACCCACAACCTCAAAGGGTCATCAGGTGTAGTTCAGTAAGTTAATTTGTTGCTATGCATGTCTTATTACAATTTTGTAGTAAACAAGTAAACGTTTTCCTACATAGATTGTGTCTGAAATATTGTATATATCTTGCCAAATGATAAATCTATTAAAATTCTTGCCCCATAGTCTTGTTCAGTTTCATCCTGATGCCCAGAAGCTCCAGCTCTTTTCCTCCTCGTTGGACTATGGCATCCGCATGTGGGACCTTCGCTCCAGTCAGTGTGTGTGTGTGCTGCAGAGCCACTTCAGTGCAGTCACAGATCTTAGTTTCAGCGGTGACGGCCAAACTATGATCAGGTACGAGAGATACAACGTTGTAATGTTTTTTTTTTTTTCATTCCTTATTTTACTAATAATTATTCATTACAGTTCAGGACGAGATAAAATCTGTACAGTTTGGGACTTAAAAACCCAAAATGTGAAACGGACAGTTCCTGTTTATGAGGTAGGTGGCTACTTTGTACTTTGTAGCTTCCAGCTCAGTAAGTCTTGTCTTATTTTTTTCATTTGTTTTCCAGGCAGTAGAGGGTGTGGTATTGCTAAACGAAGAAGGTGACTTCTCTGAAATTGGTGTGCAAAATAAAGGACTGCATTTTATAACAGCAGGAAGCAAAGGTTTAAAACACTCTTCTTCTTATCTCCAAATAAAAAGCACATTATGATTTGAGTTCTTTCCCTTCTCCCACACAGGTTTGTTAAGAGTGTGGGAAGCCAGCACTGCGCGTTGTGTCTTTACGCAGGTTCCTCCTGCAACCTTAACCTCTTCTGACGATGGTGAAGATAAAGAGGATGACCCCCGGAGTCTGACATACCTGCTACCTTTAGCAAACTCATCCAGACTTGCTACAGTAACTGCGGAACATAACATACTTATCTACCAACTGCCGGCTCTGATGACGCAACAACAGGTGCGGATTGCTGGCTTTGAGTTTGAAATAATACATCTCTATACTGATTTATCTTCTAGTTTCAGACGTATAAATCCCAGCTGTGCATAACATCACTATAACTTAGCCAATTGATCCAAATATTAGTTTGAGTAGTGAATGATGATTGGTGGTGGTTAGTCGAAGCAGAAAGCTGAGATTAGTAACTTGCCACAGTCACTCTGCTCCAGGGCAGCTGGTGGTAAACGAGTTGGTTACATGACTTGTTTACCAGCTTCTTTGATTGTCCAAGAAAGCACTATATTTGATCTTATTAGCAAACTTTTTAATCTTTTTAATTCTTGTAAGAAAAATCCATGTGAGTCACTATTGGACGGATGGATGGTTTAAATTTTATTACATTTGGTTGCACCGCTTTAATTCCTAATAGTTATTTAACATTGAATATTGGTACTTAAAGTATTACTCTTATTTTTCAGTTTGTCGGGTATAATGATGAAGTGCTGGATGTCAAGTTTTTGGGGAAAGCAGACAGTCACATTGTGGTGGCTACAAACAGCTGTCAAATCAAAGTCTTTGAGTTGCAAACTAATAGCTGCCAGATTCTTTACGGGCATACAGGTCAGTCACCAGCAGAGGGCGCTGTGAACATGTCTGTGACTGGAGCAGTGTTTGTTGTATGTCAGAGTTAAAGTGATAGCAATATCACTTTGAGTCATTTGGCTTCATATTGTTCCCTCACACAGTTTTTTTTATGATTGAATATAGATATTGTCCTCTCTTTGGATGTTTTCAAAAAAGGATCACTTTTTGCCAGCTGTGCTAAGGTCAGTGTTGCATCAATTTAATTCCTATGACCCGTTTGGATATTTACAATATGAGTTGATGTGGTTTCAGGACCGGTCAGTGCGTGTGTGGCAGATGGACGATGACAGTGGTCAAGTGCACTGTGTGGCTTATGGCTTGAGTCACACTAATGCTGTGGGCTCTATTGCATGTTCTAAGTAAGAAAATAAGTGGTTTTAAGATTGAATTCAGTCCTTCCAGGATTTCATGATCGCAACTAGGGCCACATAATGGGTAAATGCGGTCACCTGTAACTAAATAAGTACAAAATTAAACAGAAGTTCAATTTCTAGATTTTGATTATGTTTCCATTAAGAAAACGACAATGAGAAAATAATATTTAAAAATCAGAAATTTTGTTTAGGATCACAACATGCAGAAAAGACCAGCAAAATCCTGAAGGGACTGAACATTTCACACGAAAAACCCTTACACAATAATATAAATGAATCACCTTTGTTTGTTTAGATTGAAAGAATCATTCATAGTCACTGGAAGTCAGGATTGTACCATAAAGGTCTGGGATCTCCCTCAGAACTTGTCTAATACAGAACAGGAGCAGCTCACCGCACGGACCACCGAGAAGGCTCATGATAAAGTATGTCTAAGGAGTGTTAGTTTAAACATGTACATTCAATGTTGATTATATCATTTTTGGACTTTTATTAACTAACATTTCCATACTTACCGAGAAGCATTTACATATTTTTGACCTATTTTAAAATGTTTTCCCCCAGGATGTTAACAGTGTGGCTGTGTCGCCCAATGATAAGCTGCTTGCCTCTGGATCGCAGGACCGCACTGCTAAGTTGTGGACTTTGGGGGTTGAGGGCCTTGGGCTCCTGGGAGTGTTTCGAGGTCATCGACGTGGTGTGTGGGCAGTTAGCTTCTCTCCTGTTGATCAGGTGCTGGCTACGTCCTCTGCTGATGGGGCCACCAAGCTCTGGGGGCTGCAGGACTTCGGCTGTCTAAAGGTATGGGAAGGTTCACGTCATTCTTAATGAAAAAAATCTTACTTTGATGTTTACTGTTTTTAAGACTTTTGAGGGACATGATGCATCTGTGTTGAAAGTTGTCTTTGTAAGCAGAGGAACACAGCTGCTCACCAGGTAAATCAAGTCGACATGAGTTTGTTTTGTCGAATTTTGAGTTTATTGAGGCTTTAAAAAAGCTTACGTTTGTGGTTTTCATCAAAGACATGAACATAATCAAGTCTTTTAGATATCTGCAATAATCAGTTTGAGATCAATCATCAATAGAGTATTTCAAAGTACTTCACAGAACAAAAACATGAATGATTTGTATGGTTCTCAGTGGCTCTGATGGGCTGGTAAAGCTTTGGACAATAAAAACAAATGAATGTGTGAAGACACTGGATGCCCACCAAGACAAAGTGTGGGGACTCCACAACAGTCGGAAAGACGACAAGATGGTGACCGGATCAGCTGATTCCAACATCACTGTGTGGCAGGTGAAGTCTCCCTCATATACCTCTCAACAGCTATTGTTACCTTTGTCTGATTTTATGATTTTTTTTTTTAGGATGTTACCAAAGTGGAGCTAGCTGAAGAACAAGCCAAGCAGGAAGACCAGATAATCAAGTAAGAGTTTGAAATCTGCCTTTAAAGCTGCACTAACTGACTTTGGGATTTTGAAGCCGCAGACTCGCTGGCCTCTCTCTTTCTGCTCCCCTTCCCGCACCCACGAAGCTATCGCCCCCACACACACTCACTGTTGGGACGGAGCTAGTGTCTCCCAATATGGATAATACATGAATATGGATTTTCACGTGGATGGCGTGACCATAAAACGATAGAACCGGGAAGCGCGGAGGAACGGGACTTTCTTTTGGATGGCTGTGTCGCTGTGTAAGCAGTAACCGGTGACTAAGACACGAAGCTTCAGGTTAGCTCCTCGTCTTGTTGTGCTAACTCAGCCGTCTATGCTAACGGACCTGTAGATTTCTCACGAAAGTGGGGGCCAGTGGTCCGCTGTGATTGGTCACAATCTGCGACCCGAAACACATTCTCTTCCTTGTTTCATCAAAACTCGATCTAAAATATAATGTCACGCCAGCACAAATCTGCGCTAATTATTCTTCAAAAGGACGTATATCCCAATGCACTACATGGACATGGATAGCATTTTTGTAATGAATACGAAAATAAAGTCAGTTAGTGCAGCTTTAATCCAATTAAACACAGCCTAGACAAGCGCTTTACCCGTTTTTCTGTCATTATGATTTTCCTGATGACCTTAATGTAACTACAAAAGGACTCATAATATGCCGTGGTTCCTACTGCTCAAAGCATCACAGTTAATACTTATATTTTTTATGTTACAGGGCAATCGCATAGACTTTGTCCAAAACACACGGAAGTCAGGCGTTAGGGAAAGGAAAACACTACAATTTTCTAGGATGATTATGTCGGGGCTCTTTTTAAAGTGTGGTTTGTGTTAAACCAATCATGTCAAATATTTGCTTGACGGAGAACAACTCGGCCCCTTTGTTTTCTTAGGATGCAACCAAGGGGTTTATGGATCTTTATGTATCATGCAAGCAATATTTTGTTTATATTGAGTATTTAGGCAGCATTTAGATCATTAGCATTTAGGCTTGATATTTAGCAAATTATCCAGATAAATTACCATACTTTTAAAGACATGCTTAGAGTAGTTCCCTTTTCCATGGAGCTAAATAAACTTGTTTCCATTGTGTGTACAGACAGCAGGAGTTGTCTAACCTTCTCCATGAAAAGAAGTACCTGAAAGCTCTCGGCCTCGCAATCTCTCTGGACCAGCCCCACACTGTGCTCACTGTTATCAAAGGTATTTTTAAAGCTTCTATCGCGGGTGTTGAAATTTGCTATAAACTTGACGGGAATTTGACCATTGTTGGCGGCTATCTTACCGGATCTACTCATCTTTCTGTGTCTTTGTGCTCGGATGTTGCAAACACGGTTGCGAAATGTAGCTTATGCGTTGACATCATTACTTCCATTGTTTGTTCTGTTCCATTTAGACAACCAGGAAGTATGTTAATGTTGAGTAATGCATTGTTTAAGACGTATGGAGCAGTGATTGTTGTCATTTTTACCAATACCAACACACGCGTATGTTAAGATGTGACGGAGGCCAAAAATACAAGCATGTGAAAACTAGGGAAAGAATCAAACATTTTAGAGCCAGAAACTAGTTACATGGATTTTATTACGGTACATCAACACTTTTATTTGGTTTTCAAAGGTACTCCAGCTTTAAGCAGACTTTAATCGGAATATGATGTTTTGTTACAGCAATCCGGCAAACAGAAAAAAGTGAAGAATTGTTGGAGAGGACGCTACTGAAACTTCGTCAGGATCAAAAAGGTAGAAGTCAATTCCAACTCTGCTCTGCGGCGCAAAGCTAGGGGACTACAAACTAACGCTTCTGTGGTCTCAGAGTCACTGCTGCGATACTGCGTGGTCTGGAACACGAATGCCAGAAACTGCCACCAGGCTCAGGCCGTGCTGAGAGTCCTGCTCACCCACCTGCCCCCAGAGGAGCTGCTGCAGTACCAGGGCACCAGAGCACACCTGGAGGGCCTCATCCCCTACACAGGTCAGATGGAAATCATATTGGGCAAGCATATACTATATACTGTCCTACCTCGTTCAATAATGGATGAAAGAAAGTATACATTTTGGGGTTCAATATTTATTGCTTGTAATATGTTCTAGTCTTTTATGATCAATTATTAGTCAATTGAATCGTAGGTGTGGCAAATGGTCTAAACATGATTAAATACCTTACCCAAGCTGTACTCACAACACTTTTATTTAGGAATAAATAAAATAGCAAAACGACTAAAGAGATTCTTATAATTTAAATAGAATAATTTATAGTCAATTAATAAAACATTTGGTCGACTAAGGATCCGATTAAAAACAAAATATTGAATGCCCAACTAAATAGTACGGTACTTAATTTTGTTGTTTAGTTTCATAGTGCATACTTTTTAGTAAAATGGGATCATGCTGCTGTATTCAGGGTTTGGGTGGCATATAAGTATTTGAAATATTATCGTTGATTGCAAAAAATTTCTAAAGCATCAAAAAGTGTTATCATGATGAGCCTTAAGTACAAATAGGACCTGTCTTTAATGTATTTGTTTTTTATGCTCACAGAAAGACACATGCAGCGCATTGGGAATTTGATGCAGTCGTCCATGTTTTTGAACTACATGTGGCAGAAAATGAGAGTAGTCGGCACGACAGCCAGGTATAGTTAATGTTTCTCCCAAACACTGACTCTATTGTATTTTTGTTTAATAGGAACCAGGAAAACAGGACTGTGTGACATTTAGATACGTGTGATCGATAGAAACCAGACTGAACACAGAATTGAGTACGGAGGCAGAGTGAAACTTATTGTTAAAGTCCCTAAAAGGCTTTTTTCAAGGCTAGGAATACAAGTACTCAGAATACTATAGTTAAGGAATACATTTTCATATTTTGCATCTTGCAATTAAGGCATATCTTTAACTAAAATGTCTTTAAGTGGATAGATTGTGTGTTGTCCTTTTGTGTGACTATGAGGGTCAAATCACCTATATTGCTTTTTCCCCTCTAGAATGGATCAAGATGAAGAGATGGACACCTCTCCTCTAGGATCAGCCCAGCCTTTCTCTGTGACGGATAAAGAAAAGCCATCAGACTGCGGTGATAAAGAAGAAGGGGACAGCGACTGTGAAGAGGAAGAAATGGCAAACGGTTCAAACGTGAACGAGGAAGAAGGGGCCGAGGAGGTTAGTGCCACAAACAAAGCCTCCGCTGTCAGGACGAGACAAAATGGAGCCCAAACAAACGGGAATCACTCTGACAGCGATGGGAGTTCAGAAGACGAAGGAGAGGACAAGAGCGTGGATCACATGGCGTTTAAAGAGATGAACATTATTTCAAAATTAGAGACACTGGCCAGCTGACCGCATAAACTGTAAGAAGTCATCTTAAAATCCTGGCTGTGGAGAAGGAAAAATTTAAATATTGAAAATGTATTTGGAATAACAATATTGCTGGCATCATCAGAAGACCGTTGGTTAAATCTGTATTTAGCTTGGAAACATACTGATTTTATGACTGGCAGGCAAGAGGCAAAGCAAACACCTTTGTTGTTTTCTGAATTTCCTCTTGCAGTTCTGCCAAGATCAGATAAAGTTAATCTAAAACTTGTTGTATGGCATAACTTGGTTGAGGAAGAAATATGAGCAGATTGTCCAGCTCAACCAGACAATTGTCTTCATTAAAGAAATAATAAAGATTTTTTTTTTCTTTATTTTAGATGTTTATTATCAGAAAAGCAGCAAAATATTCAGTTACTAACTGGTTAATTATGAACTGCATACCAGAGGTGTGGACTCGAGTCATGTGACTTGGACTCGAGTCAGACTCGAGTCATGATTTTGATGACTTTAGACTCGACTTGACCAAATATAAAAAGACTTGCAACTCGACTTGGACTTTAACATCAATGACTCTGACTTTCACTTGGACTTGCGCCAATTGACTTGTAAAGACTTGCGTAACCCGGGCCCTTTTTACCTTTCTCCGCATCTCTCTTTCTATCTATGCCGTCTCTGAAGAAACAAAGCCTCGCGGTAGTTGTAGCGCTCGCGCGAGAGTTCGAACGTGAGTTCCAGGCAGTTCGCGCAGCAACACTTCCCTAAACAAGCGGACTGCATTCACCGGTGGGTGTGTTGTCTAGGGGAGCTGGAAATGAGCGAGCTGCAGGTATTTATCGCGACCTAACGTCATACTTTGTTCTACAAACCGTAATTGAAATGCTTTCACTACAGGCGCCTCATACAATTGAATCGACGCAGTTGTCACACTGTGTGCCGTGTTTTAAAGAGGAACTGGTGAGTCAAACTAGCGCTAGCCTGCGCTGCTCTGTTGGCTCTTTCTTATATTTTTCTGTGTGGGCGCAGAGGCCTATTATTATGAGTATATTTTTGCTGTGCTCCTCCTGCTAAAGTTTGCATACATTAGATAGTTGTTTTGATTATGTGCACTAAGCTAGATTAATATTTGCACTATTGTTTATGGTGCATTGATATGAGAATCAGTGCTTTGACTGATTGAATTAATTTATATGAGACATTTTATTATGTAATGATATATTGGTAATTATGAGATATTGCTAATGCTGGTCCAGTTGATGGCGAGCTGCCCAGGTCCAAAGCCTAGACCCCTCATACTACCCCTATTCTACAGTAGGACATTTGGAACAATAACCACTACGGACATTAAACTGATTATATAGATACAGGTCCTAGCCCAATACTCATATTCATATATGCTGCACTTGCTACTTCCCATTAAAAACCCCAAAGATAAAAAGTATGTTGACACGGACTGCTCTGATTTTATGTGTGGTCTGTGCATGTGTAACTGAGCCTGCATCTGGCACAACATCCAATTAGATCACGTAGATAGTTTTGATTTATCAGCAGACAACGACATGGAACAAACTGTTAGTCCATGGGTCAGAGACCAACGAGAATGCAACAGCAAAATGATTCCTAACATTATTTTGTTTGCCTACAAAAGTACGTGGAGACCAACAAGAAACAAATCGCGGTCAAAAAGACTCGAGAGGACTCGAAAGTCAAACCGTAGGACTTGGGACTGACTTGAGATTTGTTGGCCTTTGACTTGGACTCGACTCGGGACTTGCCTGTCTTGACTCGTGACTTGACTCGGGACTTGAGGGCAATGAATTGAGACTGACTTGTGACTTGCTAAACAATGACTTTGTCCCACCTCTGCTGCATACTGAATCTACAGAAATATTCTTATCCAAGGAAGATTTTGTATTCATGTTTTTATAATAAATATTTAAAAATGTTATGAGCTCATTGGTTTGATTCTTTCCCTGACTGATCCATTTGCGCGTGGTTCCCTTTGGCGGCGTTCTTTCTGGTGATGGTCGTACAGCGGGCCAGAATCTGCTGTGGCCGTGGCCTGGGTGGTACTTTCGGTGAAGCAGGGCCCTTGTAGAGATTTGGGTCTGAAACACTTAGCATCATCTTGGCACCAGTGGACCGACTCAGGAGGTGGTTTCCAGGTGTCGGAGGTTGAAAGCGCGGCCCGTCCTCCATGGCGCCGAGGTTGGGAGACGAGTTCCCAGACGAACAACTCATGTCATCGCTGAAGCTAAAGTCACTCTGACTGTCGAAGCTTCCCCGGCTGTAATTGTCCACACCTTCCTCTTCATTGTCATCTAATTCCACGGTAATCGTTGGTGGAGCGTGTCGATGCGCAGCGCTCTCTGGTGCTGCGTGCTCTGTTAGGATGCTCAGGGAGTGGGACCTGTGCTTGCTCTCTGGCTGTAATAAATGTGGGGAAACTGGTTGGGATGATGGCATTTCCAGGAGGTTTCCCTGCGAACGGCTGATTTGAGAGTACTTCTCCAGAGTGGGAATTTCCAGATTAGTTGAGTTTTGGTGCACTGTAAGATGAGGCGTCAGGCTCATGCGTGGGTAGTTTTGAGGTCGTAGGTAAATTGAGGGGATATACCCAGCCTTCTCTTTGTATCTGATTTAGACAACAAAGCATATTACATGATTGTTAAATAATTACAACTTTCATTATTTCGCTTATTACCTTACGAGCCACCACCCAGTTTCTGGTTTCTGTATGACTTCTACAACAGCACCGATGATCACTGAGATCTCATCATCTTTAGTAGCTGTGTAGCTCTTTATGGCTGTATAAAGCTTTTCTGAAATGTAATGGTACAAATGAACATTTAAGATAAGATAAATCTCACAATGGAGAAATTCAAGGCAAGGCAAGTTTATTTATATAGCACAATTCATACACAAGGCAATTCAAAGTGCTGAACAAAACAAGAAAGCATTAAAATCATAAATAATCACAGAACATTAAAAAGAAAGATAAAAATATAAAATCCCTCAGTTGTATGCAGAGCTAAACAGAACTGTCTTTAACCTGGTTTTAAACATTGTCATTGAGGGTTCACATCCCATATGGCATAGATCAAATCCCTCAGGGTGTGCAAAAAGTTAAAATGTTCAAATATAGTCACATTTGTGCAAGATTATGTACAACAAAAATTAAAAGTGACTATAGCAGTGCAAGTTTTTCAGTCCTACTTTCTCTGCTTTCCATCAAGAACTTTACCTTGATCTATAGGTCCATCCATTTCATCTCCACTGTCATCAGGCTTCTCCAGATACGGAGCAGGAAACCAAGCCATTCTCTTTTCATCATTCTCTACCAGCCACCACCCTAAAGCAGCATAAATACACAAAAATCATTATCTGTGCTGAAAACGTTTCTCTTTTTCGTCTCTCACCGGCCTTGTCTTTAATGAGTACATCTACGTTCTCCTCCGCAGCCACTTTAAAGGGTTTGTTTTTGGTGTCCTTGATCTCGTAGGCTGCCACACAGCGGTATGTCTCCGTCACAAAGGGTTTCGTTACATCTCCACCGCCTTCGTTTGCTTTGATGTCTTCGTCTAGAGGCATGACCATGATGCTGGAATTAGGCAGAGAAAGATGATGGTACTGGCTCTGAGTACATCAATAGAAAAACACTTTTGCAGGAGAGGATTTTGATCTCTCACACCAGAATATTTAATTAAAATGAATGATGTCTACCTAAGCAAGAGCTCTAACTCAATATTGTTTTTATACGCGATTAGTTGAACGATTAATCCATAAATTCATTGATCAGATGTCTAGTCCAAAAAAAGTTGAGTTAATTTGGGCTTTTAAAAATATCAACTGAAGTGATGCTGCGGTAGAAACACAATTGTTTTTTTATGTTTTTAGCATAAATACATTTAATTCTATAGTGATTACAACTCATAAGACCTATCCAAAGGCATGGTTTGGTCTGAGTACTGTCACAAGTGTCAAATTTATAACTGAATCGGTTGAGATCTATTTCAATAATCTATTTGTTGCATTCTTGTTTTATTTATGTACTTGTCTGGAGCAATGTGGGGACTCTTGCAAATGTAATCCAATGTGGTTTTACTGCAAAAAGTAAATTAACTGAACCTCAATCTGAATCTTAATAACATTTTGTACTGAATACTGTACTCTGGGTTATACTTCCTGTCATACCTGTTTTTGAAGAACTCTGGTTGGAGATCTTGCTTGTTTGGCTGAAAGAACTGCACCAGGTCTGTACACTGACAAACTCTGGGCTCACAACTCAGCAGTTCATTGCAGTATTTCTGTAGAAACTTGAATCGCTGGAGATACTTAGTTGTAGTCTTCCTCTGCTCTCTGCGCTTCAACTTTCTGTCTGAAATAAAAGCAATTTATCCTTGAAACTGTGCTTGTCTTCCCACAATAACTTGACAAATACTTACAACGGAATTTGGGAATAACTCTTTCAGAATGATTCCGTTTGCTTTCAGTTGGAAAAGCCTTCTTCATTTGTTTCTGCCAATATCAACAAGTCAAAGTAAGTCTATAATCAAACAATCAATATGTATAGCGCCTTTCCTACACAAAGCAACACAAAACGCCTCACAATCATATCACATCAAGCATAAATCATAAACATTAAAATATGATTAAAACAAGATCGCAAGAACTATTAAAAACAGAGGATAAAATCACACAAGTAATTAAAAACCTGAACTCCTTAAAATCACACACGGGATTAAAAAAAATGAATAGCCCGTGCATTAAAAAGACTAAATGAAGGTGTAGTTCTTGTTCTAAAATAGCCCAATACTCACATGTAACTTCTGAAAGTCTCTGAAGCTTCTATAAACCATTATATCATTCTGATCTGACCAGAGCACAGAGACCAAGTAGAACTGAAATATAAATGATCACTTGTCAATTTCATGTAATTCATCTAGCGTCGTTATTACTAGTACCTTTTCTTTTTCCTTGTGTATAACGCCGGCCAAACGCGTGCTGATTGGGTATCTCTGTGGATCCATTACACACAAAGGTCCTTCTGATGAGTGAGAAGCCTGCTGCATTGTCTTCTTGACCGCAGGTGCATTTATAGCACTCAGAAGGTGTGGCGTCACGCATCATTGTTTGGTAAAACCTGTTTCAGTGATGCAGCTTTTCTTTCTGTGATTTTTATGCTTAAGAAATATTGTACTTTCCCCCCAGTCGTTTTTTAAAGAGTACACAAATCTACAGCTTAAAAGTATTGCGCTCTTGTGAAATAATACCAATAATACTTCTGATGCTCAGTTGTGACATCTAGCGGCAGAAGGTAGATTGCAGCTGGAGTAAATCACTTTGAAAACGCACCAAAAGCATGATGTAATACAATCCATGTAACTAGTTCCTTGTTCTGAAAATGGCTTGTTGGTCAGCCGATAAGCTCTCGGTATTTAATAATGTTGTGGTCTGATTTGTTCACACAATATTACTTACACAAGACTCATTCTGTTGAGACAAACAGACTGAGGCATGCCAAGTTCCAAGTACCCTAGATGTGTCCTATAGAAATACAGTGAAACTTTCAAGATTCAACGGAAAATAAAAAGTTAAACCTTAATTTAGTTAGAGGTTTTTCTTTTTATTACATTGGAGTTGAATACAGGGTATGTCATTTCCATGGAAACGAGCAGTACGACACAAGCCTCACAGATCCAAGTTTGAACAAAAAATGGGGAAGAGTTTTCCTGTAACACCATTCAAATCCCAATCGTAAAGTCTCTGCATGTTACTCAAATCTCTTATAAATAAACTAAAACAGAATTAGCATGAATGTTAAACTATATTTTAATTTATTTAGACTTTCTGGTAATTCTGATTATTGTTGTAAAATTAAAGTATTTATTTTGAAAAGTTTAAAACCGTTTGAGGAAATATTTTCTGTCACGTATGATAAGAGAACCTTCAGTGTTGCAGTCATTATTTTTGTATGAATAATTATACAACCACCCTCTTGCAAAGTGAATACTGTTTGGAATCAAATTTACACAATACTCCCTTTTAGATAAAATACATTTCAAATTAGACTTCATAAATTATCCCCAGACAAAGTCGAATTCCATACGCCATTCTGTGTAGTTTAGTTCATGTTTCTTAAAATGATTAGTTGCATAGCAAAAAAACCAATATAGTATTCAAATGATATATACAGCTCCTGAATGGGGGACAAAAGTATCAGTTTTACCAACAATATAGAAAAAAGTTGAAAAGCACTCATGGAGCACCGCCCAAATATAATCATCCTAAAATATTATACTTATCCTCCAAAACCTTTTGAGGTATCTTGTTAACAGACAGAGAGACAAACAAGCCCTGGTGAAAACATAACCCCCTTGCAGAGGTAACAATGTTCTTGGACACAAACTGCACATGACATGGAGCTTTCGCTAAAGTTCACCGTGGTAGACCCGGCTGTTGCTGCCAGGCCACAGGCTGCTCTTCCTCGACTCATCAATACCAGCAACGCCCACATCCAGTCAACCAATAACCACCAGGACAGCAAGTTAAAAGCCGGAGACGCCCACTTCCCGATCTTCTGAAGTCTGCAAACTTCTGAAGCCTGCAAGGTGCATGTCGCTAACGCACCTGTTCGCAAATGCATGCGTTGTTCTGGAGGGGTCGCTTCTGCTCACGTGTTGCTCGTGCGCGTGGCCCGGCTGTCCTCAGTCTGGCTGCTCATGGTCTGCTCCTCCTCCGCGTCCCTGCACCTGCTGTGGTTCGCGTGTCTCCACTGCTCTCCTCCTCTGCGGGCTCTTCTGCGGGCTGCTCCGCGGGGCCCCTCCGCGGTTCTGTGCTGCTCGTTCCTCGTGGTCTGCTGCCGCGCGCAGACGGTCTGGCGGTGCCGTGCGTGTCCCTGCCTCCGACTGGCGGTGCCGCGTCGTCCCGTTGCTTTCCCAAGTCTCCTGGCATGTGAGTACAGTGAGAGTGCCGACCGCGGACAGTTTAATCCCGGAGTCTAGGCTGCAGGCGGCTGGTTTTTGCCCTACGCACTTGACTGCAGGCGTCAGTCTTCGCCCGTGCTTGGTCTGCAGGCTCCGTTTTACACGTGTTGAGCTAACTGAGGGACAATGCATCTTAAATGGCATCAATCTCCAATGTCTGAGGGATATAAGAGGAGCAATGTGCATTAATTCAGATTCATGTTCTGCCACTTGCAGTAAAACCACGTTGGAAAAAATGTGCAAAGACTACCCCATCGTGCTCCAGACGGCACACACAGAGCTCTTGCATGGCGCCATCTTTACAGCATCAATCTCATTACTCGCAAGTCACTATTGTTAAATGATGTATTTAAATTCGTCTATCTGCAGGAGGAAGGAGGGGCCATGCATTTAAATAGCTAGGTCACTAGTATTAAATTGGGTAACTAAACTGCAGTTGTTGCATTTCGAAAGTGCAGCAGAAAGAAAAGGGGCCCAATGTGAATATGCAATGGGTTTGAAGTGGAGCTGGAGCTAATGAACGCATGGATCAGTGATCGTTCATGCGTTCTACCATAACCAAAGCAGCAAGATGGCTCCAGGGGACATCTGTTTCTCGCATGGGAATGTTTCGGATTCGGGTTGATTTATTTCCTCAGGCTCTTAAACAACCGTGGGCATGGTTCTCTGACCGCCGCTGCTGCGGTCCCTGCTGTCGTTCCTACTGATGCCTGATCCCGCTGCTGCCTGTTCCTGCTGCTGCCTGTCCCTGCTGCCTGCTCCTGCTGCTCCTACTACTACATGTGCCGCTGCTGCTGTTCCTGCCGCTGCCGCTCCGCAGGCTCCCAGGCTGCACCTGTCTCTACGGCTCGGCTCTTCAGACACGTACGTAACCTGGCTCACGGAGACAAGCGGCGCACGCTGGCGTGACACGTCTGTTGTTCGTATGAATTGCATCGTGCTGCTGCTGCTTGCTGCTTCTGCTGCCGCTACTGCTGCTATTGCTGCCGCTGCTGCTTCATACTGCTACCGCTTCCGTGCTGCTGCTGCTTCTTTACTTTGACACCTCTCTTCACTGCGCATCTCTTTTACTGAAACACTAAACAGCTTCAACTATATTCTACTGCGGTGGCTTGATACAGGATTATTGCTGTTATTATCTACGGATGCTGCAACCGCTGCTGCTGCTGCTGCTTCATGCTGCTACCGTTACTGCTGCTACTGCTGCCGCTGCTGCTTCATACTGCATCTGCTGCCGTGCTGCTGCTGCTTCATGTACTTGACATCTCTCTTCACTTGGCATCTCTTTTACTGAAACACTAAACAGCTACAACAATATTCTACTGCTCTGGCTTTGATACAGGATTATGGCTGTTATTATCTACGGATGCTGCAACCGCTGCTGCTTCATACTGCTACTGCTGCTACTGCTAATGCTGCTTCTGCTGCTTCATACTGCTACCGTTACTGCTGCTGCTACTGCTGCGCTGCTGCTGCTGCTTCATGTACTTTGACATCCCTCTTCACTTCGCATCTCTTTTACTGAAACACACTAAACAGCTACAACAATATTCTACTGCTCTGGCTTTGATACAGGATTATTGCTGCTATTATCGACGGATGCTGCAGCTGCTGCTGCTTCATACTGCTACTGCTGCTGCTGCTTCATACTGCTACTGCTGCTGCTTCATACGGCTACTGCTGCTACTACTGCTGCTGCTGCTTCATTTACTTTGCCATCTCTCTTCACTTCGCATCTCTTTTACTGAAACCCTGAACAGCTACAACAACATTCTACTGCTGTGGCTTTTATACAGAATTATTACTGTTATTTTCTAAGGACGCTGCTGCTGCTACTGCTGCTGCCGTGGCTTGATACAGGACTTTTGCTGTTATTATCTGAGGCTACTGCTGCTGCCGCTGCTGCTACTGCTACTGCAACCCATTCTCTCAGAAGCTTATCCTGCTTCTAATGGATGCAGCCCGGCTGAGTATGCCGCGCTGCGCCGGACTCGCACCTATGCTCCCAGGGTCGCTTCGGCGGTCGTGCTTCATCTCTCTACTGAATCTTCTGATTCTATCAGATGCAGCTGGCCAAGTAGCTGCGCTGAGCCGTCAATCGGACTCCTAATCAAAGGCATCCATACCTGGTTCTTCACTCTTCTGATCACAGGCTCCCCATCATGCTGCCCATCCTGCAGCGGCTCTGAGCGGCACTGAACTCCGGCTCATCTTCCAAGTACATGTCTGCCCTCCTCGCAGCATCTTCTGCTCGCCTTCTGTGGCTTCTCTGCATAAGCGTTTCACCACTGCTCACTCAACCTTCAATGCGGTCCGAGACACGGCTTTTCCCGTCCTATCCTACTGGCCTAATTATCTACTCTCCAACCCAAGATTCTAAGCGTAAGGGCGCCTGCAACATCAATGGCCCTCTCCGGTGTGTCTCTCTGCCCCTACAGGTCTCCGCTTCTACACGGACGCTGCCCCTTCCGTGGGTTTTTGGGGGATTCTTCCAGGACCAGTGGTTCGCCGGCCGTGGCCCGCTACTTTCCCCGGAGCATTTCCTCTGCCCTACACGAGACATTCCCAGTGGCGTGGCCTGCGCGCTGCGGAATCACACGTGGCAGAGAAAGAGGATCTCTGTCATGCGTGATCATCTCGACGTAGTGGAAGCATTAAACAAAGGTCGCTCTTCTCACCCAACATAATGTCCCCTGACCATTCAACCTTCATCTCAAACATTCAAAGATCAGAGGCGCCTGCAACACAATAATAGCTCGCTTCGACACATCTCTCTGCCCCTACAGGTCCATGATGCGTTACACTCGCCTCCGCGGCAAAAAGGAGATTTTAACGGACCTCTAATTCTCACTCCAGTCAACCTTCCCATAACAGCAACCTGGTTCAGAGCTCAGCTAAGATCCCTACTGCTCCTCTGTAAATTGTCTCCCCAGCTCTATACAGCCCACTCCTTCAGGATAGGCGCTGCCACGCGCGCGACCTCGCTGGGGCTCCCCCACTCTTCCTCTGCAACAGCTGGGGCGCTGGTCCTCTTTGGCTTCTCCACCTACATCAGGCCAGATGCGACCGCTATCATGGCAGCACAACGTCTACCGGCTTCCTCGTAAGCTCCCAGCAAAGCAAGTAAGCAATAAGATTCTGGTGGCGGCAGGCACTTTCCTCAAACGCTCAAAGATTCCTTGCTTCAGCGTCTGGCTGAATATGAGCGTGCGCTCATATTCTCAGCTCGCTCAAAGATTCCTCTGCTGCGGCTGGCTGAACATGCGCGTGCGCGCATGTTCTCAGCTCGCTCAAAGATTCCTCTGCTACAGCGGCTGGCTGAACATGCGCGTGCGCGCATGTTCTCAGCTTGCTCAAAGATTCCCCTGCTGCGGCTGGCTGAACATGCGCGTGCGCGCATGTTCTCAGCTCGCTCAAAGATTCCCCTGCTGCAGCTGGCTGAACATGCGCGTGCGCGCATGTTCTCAGCTCGCTCATGCTCTCAGGCCCGCGCAGTGCGTCCTGCTATCCCAATCGCAGGCCCGCTTTTTGGGGATCATGCACGCGAGCAAGCGCCGTGCTCAACAGCATCCCGCCCGGGCCTAGGGCGCCAAACATGCTCAATCAATAAACATGCTTAAATCTAATAAGTCTAATGCGTTTTCCTCATGGGTCTCTCCAAGGTGAAATGGAGCTTTCGCGAAAGTTCACCGTGGTAGACCCGGCTGTTGCTGCCAGGCCACAGGCTGCTCTTCCTCGACTCATCAATACCAGCAACGCCCACACCCAGTCAACCAATAACCACCAGGACAGCAAGTTAAAAGCCGGAGACGCCCACTTCCCGATCTTCTGAAGTCTGCAAGCCGCCGCCGCCCCTCCTTCTCGCATGAAGCGTGTTGCCTACTGCCTCTGCAGTCACCAGTGCCTAGGCCCCGGGGGGGATCATGCACGCGAGCAAGCGCCGTGCTCAACAGCATCCCGCCCGGGCCTAGGGCGCCAAACATGCTCAATCAATAAACATGCTTAAATCTAATAAGTCTAATGCGTTTTCCTCATGGGTCTCTCCAAGGTGAAGTGGTTATAGAGGGAGGTTCTTGGATTCATAAAGGCCTTTGCTCATCTCAGTTTTGATGCCTTGAGATTACAAAATGTTCCCTGTTTCAAAAACATCGAAATTCGAAGATGGGAATACTGCGTTCTTGAAGTATGTTTAGATTTAAAGACTGGTACCTGTGGGGTAAACATATGTATGTAAGCATATACTATGATTAAAAAATAACAAAATAAAGAGGTTACCATTCAGAACTCCTACGGTAATAATATCCCTCGACTGTAGCTGTAGATTTCTGAAAACAAATGTAGTAGAATCCTGCAAAAGATGCACCACTCACGTCTTTGATGGTGTGGTCCGGAATAAGAAACTGCTCCTTCAGGGGTAAAAGGTAGAGAAGATAAAATTAGACAACTATGGACACACAACTGTGGGTAGATGGAAACACACAATTATACCTTCCATCGCATAAAAATATAATCACTCCTTGCCAGCCCTCCATAATCACACTTATCAGAAATAAAGCTCTTTGCATATTTGGAAAATGATTTAAACTTGCCCTGGAGGGAAGAGAAAACAGGTTTTAGTCTTCATGTAGGTTCTATTTTACATATGCAAGTAACAATGTCTGGCACTATTACAAACCCAATGTTTTCTATCGATATCTTCATCTGCATCCCATTTTCTGGTTAGAAATGGGGTCTTTTGGCTGATAATTTCCCCAACAAAAAATGTTGTGAGCGAAGGAAACTCCTTGAAAAGCAGAGGTTACTGTTTACTTGTTCAGAGTGTACATGTATGAAATCAGTAAATCTCATGACAAAGCCCCTGAGTCACTATTGCATAATGAGCTATACAGCACATATATACCTCGGTCAGGCCTTTGATCTTCAGATATCCGCACACATAGGAATCCTCTATAGACACATGCTGCATTTAAACATATTCAACACATGAGGAAATTGTACTGTTTGATCATAAGGTTCTATATTGGATAACATGGGCAATAGATATTTTATATATATTTTTATAAATCACAAAGCAGTTTGCATAAAGATAGGAGGATTTTCTACTTCCAGGTGGATCATCAAGACTATTGGTTCTCCAAATGGTCAATCATTCTGGTGAAATAAGACCAGAGAGTTTTATTCAAAAAGTGGGGCAGGCGGTTCAGGTCAACGCAAAACTGGGTTACAGAAACAAGTGCCTTCATAAACACACTAACTTGTGTTTCCTACATTACAATAATGACAACAAACATAAGTGAAGGTGTACAAACCTGCAGAACAATGTGCACGTCATATGTGCGCTTTCTCTGCAGGTCTGCTGGCCCCGAAAGCGAGCTCCGCTGTACAGCGCAGTGCACAGCCCGGGCTGCAGCGCGCTGAGGGGCGCACAGGCAGACCCGGGGGTAGACCCAGTACCGTTCCTGGGAACAGTCCTGGGACGAGCACGAACTACTGGGACGGGCATGGTGTGCTCAAAACTGACTTCATTTGTGACTGTCATGAACTTTATCACTGGTGGTGGCACAGAAAACTTTGACCGAGATTTTAGCTCACACGATTTCATTGGATGAACAGCTTGTCCAAGATATGGCTCTGCCCGCCCCTTCCTCACATGAACTTGACAGCCATGACTATGTCTGTGAACTAAATGCAGATACATTGTATTTACAGGAAATATGCAACAATACAACACAATCAAAACTGTTATTCTCACATTAACTCTAAGGAAGAGCCTTGTGGGTCACTATTTGACTGAGTGGGTTGGTATTTTCACTTTTGTCTGAAAAAGTTAATTTAAAAATGTGAAAAGGCTCAAATGAGTCTTATATAAACGTGTGAAGTTACAGTACATCTATATAGTTCCATTATGCACGGTAATTGTGAATCCTGCTTGCAATAGTATTCTAAATCCACTAGGGGCGCCAACAGACTTATATGTACAGTATAATGCGAATAAATGAGTGCAGTCCTTGTAAGGTTCCAAGAGCAGAGCAGGCTTTTTATCTTTAAGGAACAGTTTAACTTTCGGATGTGCTACGTCACTTTGACCATCCCATGGAAATACTAAGCTAAGTGAGATTGTTTCTTTGTGTACATATATTATTCAAGTTGGTTGAAGTCTTTGTTGAACAGTGGTAAGCTGTTATTTGCCATAAACAAACGGTTCACATTCACGTATAGTGAAATTTATGAGATAATGTGTTTATTATTTATTGTTCTATTTATAAATGACTGAAAATGAAACCAAAAGACTTATGATGCTGAATGAAGTAATAAATAAATCTCCCCATCACTAATCTCTTTCTTTTACTAAGTGTAGTGGGTTTAGTTTTCTTTATTATATTCTAGGTACTACAAATACTTAAAATTAAAAGGTAAGTAGAAGAAGAAGGTCCTTTATTTGTCCCACAGTCAAATTTCAGTTTGATGAAAACACATGTACATATATATACACATCAAGGCATGCAGCGAACATTACTTCTGCGCTCCTTAAAGACAAAGTGGATTAAGTGTCTTGCACAAAAACACAACATCAGTAGGGTAGGTGGGGAAGGTTTTGTGGTGGGCTCAAAGTCCAATGCTCTACCAGCTGAGCCCCATGTGTTGTAATTACATAATTTATTAAGTAATAATTATGTTCTAATTTACAGGTAATCCAAACCTAATATTGGATACAAGAATGAAAAAGAAACCTACTAAACACATTTTCCTCCAGATCTGCTGTGGTCGATTAGCCTTGACAAATTTATTGAAAAAATAAAATGACAAACGTTCATCTATGATATAATTTGTGCATTTCTTCCTCGTAGTGATTCACATATGTCGTAATATGTGAAAGGGTCATTCTATTTCTCTGGAGTTCCTTTTCTTGGAGCTGAAGATAATAAATACATGAATTGAGCGTAACCAGAAACGTAAATATAAAAGGATATCACATGACTTACTTTTTTGATGAGTCTGCTCCTCCAAGCATTGGTACGGGAGATCAGTTGACTTTCTCTCTCTCGTAGGATGGTAATGTGGTTTTCATTAGCAGTGGCCAATTCTTTCATCAATGTTTCTTTGTCTAAAAACATCTTGTGTGACGAAACAAAACCAAAACACAATGAGCTTGTGGTAGATGGCCCTCTTATAACACACGTATGTATAAAGCAGTACCATCTTGACGTCATCAGACAGGTCTTCCACACCTTCATCTTTTGTCACATTCTCAATAGTTGCAGGAACAAGCTCCAGCATTTTCTCGTAATATTTATCCTCCAGTTGCCGGCATTGCAAAAATGTGTATTTTTGTTAATTTAAAATCAATATAGAACACATAATTTCAACATTTAATCTAAATAGAAACATAATATTTTGCAAAAGGATATATTTCTTGAGCAGTTTCACAGAAGTTGCTCAGCATTTCTGAAAGGACTGCATCCAGCTTTTTGATCATCCTCTACACCAACAGCAAACAGAAAATATTAATATCATGGTATGTTGTTCGACAACAGTGTCCTCCAAAAGTACCAAGTTTACACATTTGTCATGTTTATGACCACAATAGAGTAACTGACAAGTGTGAAAGGCAAAATGATACATGATACATGGTGTATTTTGAAATAAACTGAAAAGCGTAAAACATGAGTAGATACTTCGTGGAACGGGCTTTGGCTGAAGCTGCAGATCACTGAAGAGGATGCACTGAAGGTGATGAGTATTCATTCAATTAACTCTTTATTAAGAACACAGATACAACTGGTTCATAGTGCAAAAGAAACATAAATACATATATAACATGGTATCTAACCATGAAATGGATAGTTTGGCCACAGGCAAAATGTTTTGCATTTTGGCCAAAAAGTTAAACGTTTCACACATTCTTTCAACAATTTAGTACAAGAAAGTTCATTTTCTCTGCTTTTGACGTTTCTTTTTCATTTCCTTTTTAACAGGTTTCCTGTTTCCTATGTAGTCTTTTATTTTAGAAAAAATATCAAAATCACATATAATATAGGATTAGTACGATTATGCACCTACCTCTATCTGACTTATGAGTTTGAACTCAAGAGTAAGCAGATCTTTCTGTAGTTTATTTAATTCATCCTTTCCTTGAACAGTTTGTAATGTTGCCAATTCTTTTTTCATCTTTTTACAGATAAAAACATAAAATATCAGACGATCAATACTACAACATACAACGTGACATTCCTTACCTCTTTAAAGTACTGTTCAAATTCTCCGAGTACCTCAGTTTCTTTCTGAATGATGTGTGCGATTGTATCACTGTGACACCTGTAGAAGGAGTCCACCTCTGCTCGTCTCCGCTCATGCTCCACTAAACCTGTTTCAAACAACTGCACACACAGCCCTGTCATCTTCTCCTTCAATGTAAGGGGTACGTTAAGAACACAACATCGTTGTTGTTGTTGTTGTAATGTAAATAAGGACTGATTGAGAAGGTAAAAAGGATATGGTTTATGTTGAGCTTCTATTTCTGGGACACTCTTCAGTCGGTCTGACAGTGGATCATCTTTGAACATGCGTTCAAAAAGAAAAGAACCATTCAGTGATTCCACAAAGGCATCCTGGAAAAAATAGAGCATCCCTACATTGTTTTGGTAATTGATTCCCCCAATGAAATAAAAGTAAACAAGTAAAACGGAGTACCAAATGCAATTGTTGCTCTTCTTGTTGTGATTTCAATTCCTCTGTTTTTGTCTCTTTCGCTACGTTTTCATCATAGAGTTTCTGAAGCTTTATATGAAATTCCACAGATGCACGCTCTTTCTGTCCAAATGAAGATACATATCTATATTGAGTGGATTGTGAAGAAATATGACACTGCATGACGAATCAGCATACTGTACACTATGTTCGAAATGTGTCTATTTTTGCGGCTAGAGACATATTTTTTGGTATAAACTAAAGTATTTATGGAGTATGTGCTCTCCTTGTGTCTGTGCAGGTTTCCCTCTGGTGTTCTGGTTTCTCCATCTCACTAATAGGAAGTAGAATAGTTCAGGATGAATGAGTGTGTTTGTGAGCCCAAGCCTACAACATGGAGAGTTGTGTTCTTTAACATAAAGATGCACTGTCCCAACCAAATAAACAATAAACAACAATTAAATTAAATCACAAGAACTAAATAAAGTCTTTTTACAATGTAAACTTCTGGGTTCCATTGTATAAAATAAAGGCTACTTACAAATTCCTTGTTGACATACTTGTAGTCAAGGTAGGTTAAATTGGGAAAGAAGGCAACTATGAACAATTCGTAATTCCCCTCTTCACTTAAGGGGTTTCCACTGAAGTTGAGAGTGTACAGATGTTTTAATATCTTGAGATACAGAACCTGTGTGGTGACAAAAAGTTTGATCATTTGAGTAAAAGTGTAATTGTAAATAGTAATCATTTACTTGGCTCAGTTCTTTCAGGACGTTATTAGACATATTCAATAAAACAAGTTTCTCAAGAGAATCCATGTTTTCCAGGACAGCAATGTTGTTATTGCACAAGTTTAACTCCTCCAGTTTTTTCAGATTTTCTAGGCCCTCAATTTTCATTATGGCGTTGAATGACAGATCTACAGACATGTTAGTATGTGAGATAATGATCATCTGTATTGAAATTGTGCTTCATCTTACTCAAAGTTCTTAAATTATACAGACGGCTCAGGCCCTCTATCTTCTGTATGCCATTATTATTTAAGAGAAGTGTTGTTAAGGAAGAAAATTGCCACAAGCGCTCAATCCTTGAGAAACCTGAAAAGAAACATTTTATTTAACACACCAACTGATTAAAAGATAATTAGCACATGGTAATCAATGGCCATAAATTATCACATTCACAACTAGAAAAGGCCAGCATCTCATACACAGTCAATGTAACAGTGTCTCACATCTGGATCCCAGGTCGAGTTCCTTCACCTCACCAAACTCCACTTCTTGGTCAACGTTGCGTCTCGAATCTTTTCCTCGTTGGGCTACAACATTCTGTATAATGTCATCGGCGGTCCAGGGTTTCCTTCCTCTTCCAAACATAGTGCATTTACTCTACGTATATCTGCGTAAAAAGAACTGCTCATGTGGACTAGCTACGACCTAGCGCATGTTGTCCACACACTTCGTTACTAGGCAACACGGAGCGTTCATTGGCGTTACGTGGTATGGACGCAGAAGTTAAATTATAAATAAAATGTATATTGTCAATAATATGTTGTTGTAACTAATTATGTTAACTTGTAAAAAATGTTTTGTAATATGATAATTAGGGTTAGCTCTTAATATTTATAGTCACTTTTTGAACATAGTTAACGCTAACTTTATAGTGAGGGCTTATTATTATAGGTATTATTATAGATCCACGGGTATTACTGACAAACAACAGCTCTGTACGTTCACATGCATACGTCTCCCTTTAGTTTGTCACCGGTGGCGGCAGTGTTGTGGCGAAGTGGACCCGATGTGTTGAGCCCGCGCCTGATCTCTTCGGATTGTTATTAACATGGAGTTCTTACTTGGCAATCCATACAGCACTCCTGTTGGCCAATGCGTCGGTAAGTTCTGATGGTTAAAGAGGTCTAGCTTCAATGACAGGTCTCGATAAACGCACAAATGTCATGCACGCAATAAATAGCATCGCGTCAAACGTCATCAACTTTATCTGACACCGCTAATGCTAGCTTGCTAATGGTGCTAATCTAACTCACTACCTCCACGACTACATACTCACTTTTCAAACCTATTGTATTCAGTATTACAAGAGTGTAGACTGCACAGTTCATTCACGATGCTAAAAAAAATACTGTTCACTGCTGCTGATTGGTCTAGTAAAGCTAACTAACTTCTTTAACACACAACTTTATCATAGCATCCTTTTCTTTATTCACTTGATTTACCCAACTGTTCTCTATTTCGTGTTACTTCTGTTTAGTGTAATTGTGTATGTTTAATTATTGGGTTATTGTGTTAGTAAGTGATCTTGTCAACTCATCACAACTATTCCCACCATTCATCTTTTATAGATTGTGAGCTCATTGAGGAATGTAGTGTCACTCATTTGTGGGGTTTTTGATTTAAAAAATGTCTATTCCCTTTGTTGGCTGTGTATGGTACATCTGGTCTGTCATGTGACGAGGTGGTGCCATTGATTCACTGTCATTTCTCAGAGTTAAAGAATGAATGTACTGTTTGCATTCAGCAGCCTTGAGCTTCCTTTATTATTTAAGTTATCCATGGAGGATTAGACTTTTTGGCTCTTGTGCAGTGGCTGGCCTTGACCTGACAATCCACTTGAGTAGATTACATGGGATTGATGAAGCTATACTACCTGTCTATGAAAGAAGATCTGCAAAATGTTTTCTCAAAAGTCACATTAGTGCCATCTAAGCAAATGAATGGATCCTGCTTAACGTTTTTACCGACAAATCGGACATGAAAAGCACAAAGAATATCCCCATCTCCATATATTAACACATTTTTTTTATTCGTACATTCTTCAGAACGAGCCACTGATGGAGGGCTCCAAAATGAGGACTGGACTCTCAACATGGAAATCTGTGACATCATTAATGAAACTGATGAGGGGTAAGTGTTTATTTAAAATCTCTTCTAATGAATAAGATTAGAACACACATTCTTCTTTGTTACTTCACTTCAATTTATTGTCGTCAGGAAAATTCTACATACCTTCCGCATTCCTTGTCCATACCCACACATGCCCATTGTTTTAGCATACACCAGTACTTCATTGTACACAGCCGTTATTGTGGAGAAAAGCTCCACAGGCTGAGCGTTTGGATGGCTATTGATTTCTCTGTTCACATTTGAAACATTTTATGAAACCATTTGAAAGATAGTCCAATCATTTTAATAAAGTTGTAAACCTTTATTTGTCTCACAGTGGGGAAATTTGATTCAGAACGGTCAAGCATCTATTATTGTGATCTAGTGGTAACTAAAATCCTATAAAATCATATTTTGGATTTTGTTGACAAATGCAAAATATTTCATACTTAAATATCTGGGGTGGGAAAGACTGAATTTCCAATAAAGAGTTATGAGATAAGATGTAGTATAATTTATATTTGAGCAGAGTTCATACATTGAAAGATAAATTCAAAGGCTGTGGTGTTTTCCTCAGAACAGTACAAATCAATGCATTGTTCATTACAATTTCAATCTAACAAATTATGCTTGACTTTATTTCATATTTTTGCCTGGATTGGATCACTACATATAGATAGATAGATAGATACTTTATTGATCCCGCGTAGGAGAAATTCAGGTGTCCAGCAGCAGAAGACTCCTCCAAGTTTGTTTGAGAGCCGAAGGAACAAAGGGTCTCTTGAAACGTTCCGTTTGGCAGCGTAGTGATAGGAGCCTGTTGCTTCGAATACTCCTCTGAGCGGCCATAGTGTTGCCATAGTGGAATGCTAACCACATTACCATTTTGTAAACGCAACATAAGATGCTATTTCACTTGAGTGTACAATCTTGGGTAAAGTTAATTCCAGATCCCGTGACAAGCGATCTTGTCCTGTTAGTGCAGTATTCATGGGATTTATCAATGCTCTCACATTTATGTAGCATTTTCCACAACTAATAGAATAAAATGATTCCACAAGGAAAATGAAAATAAAAATGGCATGTTCTTCTCAACATTTTGTATTATTTCATGTCAGATATTTTGATGATCCTTTTTTTTCCAGGCCAAAAGATGCCATGCGGGCACTCAAGAAAAGATTGAGTGGGAATAAAAACTACAGAGAAGTCATGTTGGCTTTGACGGTAGGAAAGTGTGGTATTTAACCACTGTCTCGATCTTTTCTCTTCCTTGCTCACTGATTTTTAATTCATATAATTGCAGGTGTTGGAGACTTGTGTGAAAAACTGTGGTCACAGGTTTCATGTCCAGGTGGCTCACAGAGACTTCATAGATGGAGTAATGGTTCGGATTCTATCACCGAAGTCCAATCCTCCAACCATTGTACAAGACAAAGTCCTGTCTCTCATCCAGGTAGGATTAGATTATCCCCTTCTCCACTTTATTATTATTATGTCAGGCTCAGTTCTAAAAAGTTGGGATGGCAGACTAAAACTTAGGTGGGCAATGATAAAACTTGACATGTGGTCTTAAAAGTGACAGTTTCTCATTAGCAATACATTTGAGACCTCAGTTTTAATCGAACAGCTCAAATTGGATGAAAAAAATTAAAACGAATTATTGTAGTTTTTATGTATAAATGTGTTATCATAACCTATCTTTGTTGTCAGTCTTGGGCTGATGCCTTCAGGAGTAGTCCAGATCTTACTGGAGTAGTCCACGTTTATGAAGAACTGAAGAGAAAAGGTTTAGAGTTTCCAATGGCGGACCTTGATGCATTGTCACCAATCCACACACCTCAGAGGGTAAACATTTGAGCAGGCACTTCTCCGAAATCTGACTTTTTGTTGCGTTTGCGTATAGTAATTGTTTTCTTGCAGGGAACACCTGAAGTGGACCCAGCCATGCTCAAATACTTGGCTCCGCCTGCTCCTGCTAACCTCCCTCCCAGACCTGCACCAGCTGCAGTAAGGTCCCCTCAAAGGCCCCTGACCAGTGGACCAGGACCCATCACAGCAACACCAGAACAGGTACCAAATGAAAACATCAACAACAGAATGCATTGTTATTTCTATAACTTGACGTCTGCTCCTAGATTGCCAGACTGCGTAGTGAGCTGGACGTTGTCAGTGGGAATGTCAAAGTCATGTCAGAGATGTTAACTGAGCTCGTGCCTGGACAAGAAGATGTTTCAGATCTTGAACTGCTTCAGGTGAGGAACCCACGCATCTAACCTTTAGATGTTGATTTTGCTGATCTGATTCATGGGGGATTCAGGATCCAAATTAATTCACTTGTATTGGATTAATAGTTTGCAATTTATGTTAAATTATTGCTTAAATATTATCTGTTAAAATATGTTTGTAGTTCATGTTAGTTTTTATGTTGATCTGATTGAATTGATTGAAATTGGAGCTCAACAGTATCCACACTAAACGTTGAGGGGCACTTGCTGCTTCACAACAATAATACTGTATGGATCATGCAGTATTAGTAAGTTGACATAGTTGCTTTTGTCTGCTATATCCTTGGCTTCTTGAGTTCTTTAAAAGCGCTATGTAAAACCGATGTATTATTATTATTATTGTTATTCTAAACAATCTCCAGAGAAGTCCTCCCACATGTTGAGAAAATGTTTAGCCAGCAGGGGTCATTGTATATCGTTATAAATAAATGCAATGTATTTCTCACAGGCCCGTCCCAAGGGGGGTGCGAGGCCCTGTGCGAACTCGAAACGCGAGGCCCTGCCCTGACACTTTTTTCCCAGATCTGAGGAAAGTTTTTCCTGTTATAATCTTTGACATGAATTCAGCACCACCTCGCGCGGTGCTTGACGAGATCAGCACGCGTGTAACCGAGTGTCTTCGCTCCTATGCAGCGTTTGGCGCGCGCACGTACACACGCACACACACTCTACGTGCAATATTGGTCGCGGTCTTTTTAGCTGACATGTCTCTTTCGTCCTGTGGCAAAATGGTAGAGCAACTCAAAAGATTGAACCAAAAGGAGTCTTTTTCTTCTAATAGTTAGATTTTGGCAAAATGCGCCAAAATGGCTATGAGGCGGAGTCAATATTATTTTTTTCTCATCAAATAACGTTTTTGCCATGCCTCCACACACTCTGACAACATACACTCCTCCTCCTCCACGCTGACAACAACAAAATACTCTTCACCTCCTCCTCCACACACTCTGACCACAACAAAAACACTCCAGCTAGCTAAAGCTAGACATACAGTGTGTTTGCTAATGCTTTTAAAAATATGTTTTTGATGTGGATATTCGGACTAAACATTGGCAATAGCAGCGCTCACACACCTGTCACACCGCTGATCCTCCTCCTCCTCCTCCTCCTCCTCCTCCTCCTCTGCTCACACAAAGGGGTCTGCTCCTCTGCTCACACCTGTCTCTCTGCTCCTCCTCCGCGAGTATCCATCTCTCCTACACTGCGATCATTCCCGTTACTTTCTTTGTATCTCACTCAGACACTGCTAAAGTTATCTGACAGTTTTTTCGGAGGACCCGTTGCATACATAGCTGCCCGCGCGCCTGCCTGTTTACAAATCGCTTTTGGTGAAAATTTGACTTTACTTGTAAAAATGTTCTTTTGATCAAACGAAATCAAAGAGGTCCAGAGAAAGGGGTTTAGGGTTCCAAATTTGGAGTGCAGTCTGCCCTTTGGGGACCCTTGAACTAGTGTATTTATAAAATAAAATAAAAGGAAGGAAGATTGCGAGGCCCCTGTGTGGTGCGAGGCCCTGTGCGACGGCACAGGTCGCACAGCCCTTAGGACGGGCCTGATTTCTCATTCAAAATGTTGTTTTTGATATAAAATGTTTATGTCCAACAAATACAATCTGATTAATGTTTTAAGGAGCTAAACAGAACCTGCAGGGCCATGCAGCAAAGAGTGGTTGAGCTCATTTCAAGAGTTTCCAATGAGGAGGTGACTGAGGAGCTGCTGCACGCCAATGATGACCTCAACAACATCTTCCTTCGTTTTGAGAGGTGTCCTAAAGATTTTTGTATTATGTGTTATGTTTATTTTTTACACATTCAAATTGGCTCAGCAAGTAACATTAACTAGGTGATGATTTTGTTTTACAGATATGAAAGGGTTAGACAGGGTAGAGCTTTGCAAAATAATAGGGTAAGTTTATTTGGAAATAAAATGCAAGAGACTGAATAATCAAAATCTGTAAGAAATGTCTATCTTTTTGAGCCAGGCAGTTCTATCCATCTAAACTGTACTTTTTGTGTATTATCTGAAGATGGTGAGTGAAGCCCCAAATGACAGCCTTATTGACCTGGGACCAGGCTCTCCTGCTGTAGTGACCCCCAGGGTCACTTCCAGCCCCCCTCCTCGGGCCACTGCCTCACCAGCCCCTAACGGCTCCACAACAATATCGTCTGCTCTCGCTGGCTTGGGTTTGTCTGTTTTTCAGAACTTTTTTTTTTAACCCAAGTGTAACTTGACAATAATTCCTTCATTGACAATGTCAAATGCCAGATTACATTTCTATTATGTGACGCTTTTTTCTTTTTCTTTTTCTTTCAGAGGTTGGAGCAGGGGCAGTCAGTGCTACATTGTCATCTCACTCGGGTCACAATCAAGATGACTTTGATATGTTTGCCCAGACCAGGAGTAGCTCTCTGGCTGAACAACGCAAAAAGTATGTTTTTAGTCATAATAATATTAATATAGTAGTATTTTATTTTTTATTTTTTTTGGACACTCAAAAGACTCTTCAAATGGAATTAATTATTCATTCAACTACTAGTGTTGCTTCAGCTGTCCTGAATCAGACTCACAGAAGTGAGGCAATCGGTTTGTGCCGAAAGCCCCTCCGACCACTAACCATTTATGAACACACCAGATTCATGCTAGGCAATGTGGAACAAAATCATCATAGAATGATGTTAATAGAATTTTATGGAACTAGGAAGTTTTTAGCAAAGAAAACCACACCCCGCAATAAAGGTTAACATCAGACAGAATGGATAATAATTTTTTTAAAGAGAACATTAGGTACACTCACTCAAAATGGTATTTTAATCTCTTTTGCAAACAAGCCACTTTGAGGTTTTATTTTAGCTCTATATTGTGAACTGTAACAATCCACAGGTTGGTTGTGTGAAAGCTTCAGATAAGCAATGCCTTGTAGCTGGTCAAGGCCTCATAGGTCTAGTTGAACTTGATAAAACTTTGTTTTTGCATATTGTTATGTGGTTTTTAGCGTAACATATGAAGACCCTCAGGCTTTGGGCAGCCTGGCCTCTGCACTGGATGTAAGACAACAAAACACTGGAGGGGTAAGTACTAGCATTAAAAAGATGACAGTACTTCTACTTTCTTATTTTGTTATTTTAGAAACTCCCATGCCACTTTTTACACTCATGCTCTCTTCCATTGAGATCTTTGACTGGTGTGTGTCTCTGTGTGTGGCTCTGCTCTGGTGTAAGGTGTTATTTTGTTGTTGATTCAGCTCAGGGTTGATAACTCTGCAGATCAGGAGCTGCCCATAGACAGCTGGCTTATTACCCAAGGAATGGTGAGGACTCCCTCCTCAGAGTGTCCTCCTGCCTCTCTCACAGTCACCACGCTTTATTTCCTCATTGTCACCATAACGCATCATTTACGCTGTACTCCCTGTTAACAAGACATCACAACAGTCCAGCTTCTGCGCTTCATTTGTGCATTCAGTAGTTAATGTACGGCTGGGGATTCTTTTCCATCCACAGTCCCATTTGTTTAATAATGGACTTCATTAGGATGTCTAATAATGATATTAATGAGAATACTAATGATGTAAAAAACTAAAATATTTTTCATTGACATCGATCTACGGATATGTCACATAAAAGCATTCACAATTCATCCGTAGGAAATGACAGAAAAAGTCGAACACGACTTTTGATTGCTTGGTACTAATGTAGTATAGTGACAACATCCATAAATGGTCCCAAGCCGTCATCAGTCCCACACATTCTAAAACTAATCACCCATCTTTATTAACTAGTACAGAAGTATGTTTTGTTTAAGTTACCTAACATGTGCATTGTTCAACACATTTTGACTTTGACAGATTTAAGCTTTTGTCAATGCTTTTATGTGAACAGCTTTAGATGATTAGGTAGATGATGTTGCTCTGATATTAGTCTGTTTTGCAGTTTTTTATTCTGAACAAAATGGGTCAAGTATTAGGTCCAGTTATGGTCCAGATCCATTTGAATATTTCATTTCATTGTTTTTCTTTAGCTGTTTTTTCTTTTCATCTGGGTCATTTTTCTTTCCTTGTGGATTGTTTCTTTGGCTTTGGCTTTTAGATCCCAGTATCGCCGTCCTCTGTTATGGATGACATAGAGGAGTGGCTCTGTGCTGATGTGGTGAGGTTTATTTGATTTATTCACATTCTCAGTTTTATTCTATTTACTAACCTTGTTTATAGCGCTTTCATCACTTTTTTTCTTCATTCATGTTTGACAAACCCTTTACTATGTCCAAACTAATGTATGTCTATTGAATTGTATGTGAATACAATCACTCAATGTGTTGGAAATGTGAAATGATCCTGGTCTTATATTCTATGACTATAAGACATATATTCTATGTATTATTCATCATTCTTCTTTTTCTCAAACAAAACAGACTACAGTCATGCTTGTTTTGTAACAATTCCAAACATTGTTGCCCTACATTTTTAAACACATTTTTGTACACTAAACAACATTATTAAATTATTATTTCCCACAAATTGGAGTCATCATCATACAAATGTACGACTCCTGGCAGTATTTATGCCTTCAAAGCCGATTTTGAGAATATGAATTATTCTAAACTTTGAGGCCAGTTTTTGCCAAAAGTGTTTATACTTTTTAAATATAGTAATTCCAACAGAAATGTCCCACGTGACCCAGACCAAAAGATTAGTTCCTGACACAAGTTTCCATTCTTTGCAGAAAGGTGACCGGGTTGAAGAAGGCGTCACCAGTGAAGGTACAATGATGAGTAAACGGCACTTTCTCTTGACACTAACTTGACATGAAATCTGAAACCAATGCCTTTTTCAGAGTTTGACAAGTTCTTGGAGGAGCGAGCAAAAGCAGTGGACTCTGTTCCATCTCCCAGCAGAGCAGCGCCTGCTCCCAGCGCGTCACATAAGAAGGATGAGCACTCAGAAGATGCCCTCTTTGCCTTGTAGAGGGCACATGTGTCTCCACAGACGGCCAACGGTTTTTGCTCTTAATGATTTCACTCAAAACATTGGCTCTGGTCCCATTTCATTTGTGGACGAGTGGCCTTGTATTCTCAATGTCTGCAGTATTTACCTTTTTAATGTTTACTACACCCAAGGCATCTGACACTAACTGCCAAAGAAACTATTGTATTAATAGTTTGGCACTATTTCCTGCCAAACTGCAAAATGGCCATGACATGAAAGTAAGCAAATGGCTCATTTGCTTTTTGTTAGTGGTTAAACCTTTCAGTATTAATATTTTATAAATATTTAACTTACTATTTTATCGTGCTTATGGTATGTGTTTGTATCAAATGGCAAGATGTTTTATATGACTATGGTTGGCAGATTAATTTAGCTAACTGGCTGGTTATAATGCGTATTTGAACATTCCTTTAATTGAAGGGATAAACAATTGCAAAGGGACGCTGAACATTCATTTTTGAAATGCTTCAAAATTATTATAATTTTGGAAAAAATGTTTTTCTCCAAAGAAATTAACGGCTTCCCTCATTTTTTCACATCTTCAAACTTGGAAATGACAAAATAATGAGTTTATTTTTTTGTATGTTGTGAAAATAGATTTTGAATAGCTTCTTTTTGCACATTTTTCTTAAGGTTGCATTGTTTATATTGTTTGTGATATTTAAGAACTTCTTACGCTAAATTACGGTGTAAATAATAACATTTCGACTAATACTGTTTTGAGCCATATTCTATGCAGATTCTGATTATTTTTGTTTGTTATACATTATATATTTTTTGCATAGATCAGAGTGTGCGCCAGATCTCTAGAGCCTATAGAACACAGTACATAAGAAACAATTGTCACTTTGAAACAAATGACAATTAATGATTCAATAAATATACAATAAATGAAAGATTAACCATTAATGTGCTTCGTTCAATCGGATAACGGCTTTTGGGAAGAAACTGTTAGCTTGTATTTCAGCAGAAACACAAGCCTTCTCATTATAAATGCATCTTCATGAACTCGTTGAACCCATGCTACGCTTGAATGTGTGTTTAGTGTGGTTACATGCTGACTATTGTCTGACTCTGCAGTCTGCACACATGCCACTAATAAAACTAGCATCCTAAATGTGTTTTTTCTTTGTTATACAGAGATGCCTCTAAACTAGTGAGACCTGCCCTAATTTCTGACCTACATCCTCACATTTTCCAAGTATACTACAGCATTGTTGGTTCACTAATGTGATTAGTATTTGTATATTCTTGCATAAATATTGATCATACCTTCTATAACGCCCATAGTCTATATATAGACTTGATAAGAAAATAGTTACATTGATACATCCAAGAAAAGATTTTTTCTGTAATTAAGAAGTTATAATACAAACAATACGGCAATTATAATTTTTAGCACATGCCAAAACAAACCAGGCAGCAGTATAATGCAGCAACGTTGTACTTTTCATTAGGAACTCAAAATAAACTAATACAAATTAGAATAAAACAAAGCCCGAAGGTCAAGCAAGTCTGCTGCCTCTTAAGAGGTGTGCATGCAATAGCCTCCAGCTTCCAGCATTAGGGAAACACATGATGTAATCTGCAGCGCCTATGGCTGACGTGTGATCACCCCACTCGGGTCTGGAGCTCCTGATTGGACAATATCGCTGGTTCTACACAACTACGAGTCAAACAAGCTTGACTATTGGGAAACACGCCCACCTTCTTTCTACTCGCTCAGTGAGGCAAACCCACAACAGATGCACGCGTTCACAATTTATTTTCTATGATTTTAACCCAAAATATAAGTAACATTCTATTAATAAAAAATACGCAGAGCTGTTTCCATAGCCGCTACAATCCATTCGTCGTTTACACATTTTGACAACGTTTGCAAAGATAATATTGTGGGTGATGAAATACCATTAGGCCTTCCGTTTCTTTATTTTTATATTTTAAGATTTATTTTGTGGCAGTGGTTGTGTGTTCGAAATATGTCAGCGAAATATGTATTTATTTAAGGATACTAACAACGAATATTCATAATATTAGTTGAAACTGTAAAACTATTGGATGTTGGTCCAATCAATCATAGAATGGGGGCGGGTTGTTTGTCTGACGCTGCCAGCAAGTTTGCACTGAATGAGCTCCCTGTTTTAGTTTGGGTCGTAGCTTGGTTTGACAAGTTTATCTTTGCATTTATGGTCTAAGATGACAGATAATAGTCTTGAATGTGCGGATTTTCTTCACTGATATGGAATTTAACTGTTTGACTACTGTAGGGAAGTGAAACGGTGCATTTTTCACTAGATTCGCGTCTGCCCAGTCTTTTAAAGCCAGAGACACACAAGAGTAAAGATGAACTCTCTTTCTTTTGACGATCCAACTCTGGATAATTTGGATCCGACACTTTCGCTCAATTCCCTGAGCGATCCCAGCGATATTGATACGGCCCTTTTAAGCGATATTGATGGTAAGTAAAAGTGATTGTTGTTTAGCAGCTATATGCACGAGTCACCCCTGACACATTAGAGTACAAAGTCAGTCTGAATAAGGTGATGAACTATTTTAACAAAAGTCTAATTAGTGTGAGGCAGATTGCTTTAGACTGACACAGATATAACACGTGCCTTGTTAAAACATGAACTAGCCTGGGTGCAAAGAGTTGCCTTAACTTTAAAACAATTTCAACCATGAAATAATGTTGATTCAACAGTCTGTGTATATATATATATATATAACCATAACCATATAATTGGTCTTCTTCTATTTAAACACATTTCAGAATGATGGTTCATTAGCAGGTGATGCTAGCTTACTCGGTTAAATAAATAGTAGCGCCAAACAGCCCCGCCTCTCATCTGGACTGAGGTTGTTATAGTTCAGTGCCTTTGCTGGGTTCATCTTTAGATTTTACCTGTTCACTCTCACACTTATTATCACGCATTCTGTTTACAAGTTTACATGTTGTATTAGTATTATTTGCTTGTTGGATGTGCAGTTGTTCACTGACCATCACGGTTTACTGAGGGCGGCGAAACGTTTGTCATTTACATCGGTCAAACCTTTGCAGATTATATTGAAAAGTAAAGAAAAGAGAAATCAGAGCGGTGTTGTGTTGGATGTGTGTCAGGTATGTTTGGGTTTGTGTTTGACCGAGAGTAACCCAGTGATGTTGCACGGAGGTAACCTCTCCTCCGCAGTCTCTCTCTCCTGTCTTGGGCGTCTGTGATTGGGCCAGAGCGATCATCTCATGCTAAACCTTAATCCAAGACGCAGTGCTGAAAAAATAAAGAAAACGTGTGAATTCACATTAGATGTCAAAGTCTATATAGACTAGTAGTGCATGAGCATCAACCAGTTGTCAAAAGTATTAATTTCTGCTTTCTGTGTCTACTCAAAGCGTTTCACGTTCAACAATTGTGACTTTTTTCTACACTACTAATAATTTATATTCTGGTCATTATAATAGTTTACAACATAAGTCAAGTTGCAATGTTTTACGCAATAGTCTAACAAGAGGAGCTGACAATGTATACTTAAAGGAACATTATTTTAATGTAACACGTATTGGTCAGATTTGTGGGGATGCAAGCATGCTGAAAGTGAGGATACTGACCATGGAAAAAAAAAAAAACACTGGACTTTCATTTTTTGTATCTGGTTTCTTTTATTTAACCATCGGAGCCATGATTTCCATATTTATTAAATATGTAAATGATCTTTTTAAAACAAAATAAAACAATATTATTTGGCACTAATGCTGACATTGCTTGCTTAGCTTTACACCATGCCAATAAATGTGTCTCATTAATTAATACGTCTATTAGAATTTGTATTTCTTTGTTTTTGTCACACAGACATGCTAAAGCTCATCGGAAACCAGGATATGGAGTTTGATGGACTTTTTGACAACCAAACATATACAGGAGCTCCTGCAACCCATGTTCTTCCTGTCCTTACTTCAACTGCTCCATTGACCACGTCAGCCATCCCAGCATCCTCTTCGTCCTCCATCCTGAGCAGTAATCCACATTTGGATGCTCTTCTGGGGCCTCCAATCACTCGTAGCTCCTCCACCCCAGACAAGACCTTCCAGCCAGCCACCTTCCAGCAGTCCCCTCTGGCCCAGGTCTCTAGCAGCGTGCGACAACAGCCACCATCTCCACAGCAGCTTCAGAATGCCACACAGAAACCAGAACAGCCCCTGCTGGACCTTAGCCCAACTCCCCCTGTGCAAGTGGCATCAGCCCCACAAAGTATACCACCAAAAAGTACAGCAATGAGCTCATCCCCTCCAGCCCTGTTCACTACCACTGCCCCTCAAACACCAGTCCAGTCTCAGCGGACTACTACTACCCCTCAAACACCAGTCCAGTCTCAGCGGACTACTACTACCCCTCAAACACCAGTCCAGTCTCAGCGGACTTCCACTGTCAATTACACAGGTAACATAATGATGTGCAATAAACAATGCATTTGATAGAAATCCATATACAACACAACAATGAGGCCTGGACTTATCAAAATAAAAAAAGCAGGGAGGTTTTGGCTACAGTGCAGAGGGAAATACACGTAAAGGTTTAATGTTCACATAACTGATCTTTGATTGATATTTGGTTAAGCTGGTTTGTGTCGTAACAACTGTGTTTATCATGTCAAAGGTTAATACAAGTTATCTTGTGCACCAGTGAACTATTCAGACTGATAACACGTCTGACAAACGATGACGTAGTGTCTGAAACTATTTTCATTAGTCCTTGTGAGATAATTCCCTACTGCCCTACTAACGTGCTGTTAATTACCTTTTATCTACTGGATACTCAGATTCTTCATGGTATCTGATTCTTGCCTTTATTAACAGCATTTTTATAACTTTACAGCCTCAAGTCCTGGGATTGTAAGCCCTTCGCCCATTACTCTGTCTTCATCACCTCCAGTAGCAATCCAGCCTCAAATTCAAGGGATGACTGCCGCTTCTCCCCTTCTGACCACATCTGGAAGCCCACCTGTACAAACCATCACTCCCCATGTACAGCAGGTACCTGTAAGGAATGATAGCTGTCTAATCGATAGTTGTAAAGAAAACCAAGATATTTGTCTGACAACATATCTTTTTCAGGTGCTACTTCAGCCTCAGTTCATTAAAGCGGAATCGTTGCTCCTGACATCTACGTCTTTGGCCACAACAACCTCAATGCAGACTACTCCAATTCAGGTAAGCTCTTTATTATTATTTTAAGCTAAAGATAATTGTTTTCTTAATTAACAAAACATGTGTCTTGCTTGAAGGCCTTTGTGGGTGGAGGCACATTTCTAACTACAGTTCCTGTTATGGTGGATACAGAGAAATTGCCTATAAACCGTATAGCCATAAGTGGCAAACCGAATGGGCAGCCTCACAAGGGAGAGAAACGCACTGCTCATAATGCCATTGAGAAGCGATACCGCTCATCCATCAATGACAAAATTATTGAATTAAAAGATTTGGTTGCGGGTACTGAGGCTAAGGTACATAATTCATTGTTAATATATGTTATGTATGTATGTATGTATAATATATATTTTGTCTACTAATTCAATGTTCTCTCATTAGCTAAACAAGTCTGCAGTTTTGAAAAAAGCTATTGACTTCATCAGATACTTGCAGCAGACGAATCAGAAACTCAAGCAGGAAAACATGGCTCTAAAAATGAATGCCCAAAAAAACAGTGAGTAATTCATAGTATTCAAAAATGTAGTTTGTGTTAGACTTATGCACAGAAAGATAGAGATCCCATTAATAATATGAATGATCTTTTCCTATTACTCAGAATCTCTGAAAGACATTGTTGCTATGGAGGTGGATGTGAAGACTGAGCTGCCCACTCCCCCAGCCTCTGATGTGGGCTCCCCCTCCTCCCTCTCGCACTGTGCCAGTGACTCAGAGCCAGACAGCCCAATGGGCGATGACACAAAGGTTTGTCAATATAACAAAAATCATAAAAATCAAACCTGCAAACAGCAATTGCCTGCTGTCCAACTGAAAGCTTGGATCTCTAGTCAAATAAGTATTTGTAAATCCAACTCTCTTCCTTTCTGTCTTTGTCACAGCCTCAGGTGGAGGTGCTGGGTCAGTCAGCAGGAGGAGGCGTCGGTGGCATGTTGGACCGCTCGCGAATGGCCCTCTGTGCATTTACCTTCCTCTTTGTCTCCATGAATCCTTTGGCCTCCCTTTTCTGCAGCAGCATATCTGCCAACATGGGCACCAGCAGCCCTCACACAGGCAGAGGCATTCTGGGCTTAGACGGGGCAGGTAAATTAAATTATTTATGTTGTTAAATAATTATAGTTATATTATAGTTATAGATCTCTCTTTCTATTTTGTATTAATTCTATTTATATTTTGAATTCTTTGCTCATAATGTTTGTTTACAGCAGACTCTTTGGGCTGGATGGACTGGATGTTGCCAACTCTACTGGTGTGGTTACTTAATGGCATTTTGGTGTCAGGGGTTCTGATCCGACTCTTGGTCTATGGAGAACCTGTAACTAGACCACATTCTGGATCATCAGTCTTATTCTGGAGGCATCGTAAACAGGCTGACCTGGACCTAGCAAGAGTATGTTATTTTAATTCTCATATCAACCGTGTACTAACAATGTCTCCATTTCTGTTTGAAAGTGAGTATCAACTCTAATATTAACCGTGGTTCTTCATCAGGGCGATTATGCTCAAGCCAGTCAAAACCTGTGGACCTGTCTGAAAGCGCTTGGTCGGCCTTTGCCCACCTCTCAGTTGGATTTGGCGTGTGCTGCCTTGTGGTCGCTGCTACGCTTTTGCCTCCAGCGTCTGTGGGTGGGCCGCTGGCTGGCAGCACGGGCTGGAGGACTGTGCTCTGACCGCCCCCTGCAGGAAGATGCCTGTAAAAGCAGCCGAGATGCTGCACTGGTCTACCACCGTCTGCACCAGCTTCACATGACCGGTCAGTGAGACCAACATATTTTTATAGAAAAAAAAAAGAAAACTGGAGCCTTTTCTGAGTGCGTAGGTCCTAATGACTGCTGAATGTGCACATATCACCCACACAGGTGTAATCTACTCTCAGTATAATTACAGATGTTCTGTGTTGGCCTCAGAGCTCTGTTTTTGGTCACTAAACAGCATCACTTAGCCCATTGATTTCCCAAGTTTTTAACATCTAATGGAACTAACACTTCCAACAAAGAGAGCAGTGATCAGAAAGACCCTTGTCTCAGGATGACTGCTGTTCACAAATGCCCTCCATCCAATCTGACAGAGCTTGAGTTGATTTGTAAAAACAAATGAGCAAAACTTTTCTCAAGATGTGCAAAGCTTGTAGAATCATATCCCAAACCGAACAGCTGGGATTACAGAAAAAAGTAATAACTTATGTTGTATGAATACTTGCCCCAGTTTTCCTTTTTATTTTAAAAAGAAAGACTTAATAATGTATTATTTTTTCTTTCACTTCTCATTTGTCTGCTACTTGTTTCAGAAAACATGACAAAATGGTCAAAAGATGTATTTTTCTTTTGTAAGCCACTGAACCCAAATTCTCTTTGATTATTCAGGTAAACTCAACGGCAGTCATCTTTTTGCAATCCACATGGCTCTGAGTGCGGTGAATCTTTCCGAGTGCGCTGGCTCATGCCTGCCTGTGGCCACTCTGGCTGAAGTCTACGTATCTGCCGCTCTTCGGGTCAAAGCGAGTCTGCCACGGATCCTGCATTTCACTTCAGTCAGTGCTTTAGTCATTTCTCACACAAAGGGCTTACTGTATAATAAGTATGAAAGATGAAACATGTGTTACTTTGTAGCGGGTGTTCCTGAGCAGTGGTCGTCAGACTTGTCTGTCGTCCAGTGGCAGCGTGCCTCCGGCCATGCAGTGGTTGTGTCACCCTCTGGGTCACCGCTTCTTTGTGGACGGAGACTGGGCCATTCGCAGCACTCCTAAAGAAAGCATTTACAGCCAGGCTGGCAATACAGGTACGTGGTTCAGAAGACACTGACTTTCTGTTCTGGGAGCTGTTTGTGTTGATCATTTTCCATGTTTACAGTGGATCCTTTAGCTCAGGTGACCCAGGCGTTTAGGGAACATCTCCTAGAAAAGTCCCTCTACTGTGTGGCTCAGCCTCGTGGGGAGAAAGGACCGAGCCACGGAGAAGGGTAAACTATTTATTACTTTAGTTTGTGTCATACATTTCAGTGTTTGTGCCTTGACACATGATCATTGTATGAATATGTTACATAAGGTGATCATGTGTGTTTTCTCTCTGTCAGGGAGTACGCTGATGCGCTGGAGTACCTGCAGCTGTTGATGAGTGCGTCAGACGCTGCAGGAGCCACGACACAATCCTTTGCTATTGGATCCAACATGGCTACTGTAACTGGTAAATTATTACCATCCTTTGTTATGTTAAGCCGTCCCCAAAAAGTACATTTGCTTTTGTTACATATTGGCTTTTTCAGCCAGCTCTGTGATTATCTTGTATCGGGACTGGCAGAATTAATATTATTTGTTTATCTCTTTGTCCTCAACACACAGGATGCGACACTCACTCAAAATGGTGGTCCTCCGTTGCTGTGGTGATCATTAACTGGTTGCAAGGAGATGACTCTGCAGCCGAGCGACTGTATCCAACAGTTGAACACTTGCCTCGTAGTCTCCAAAACGCAGAGTGAGTTTATCATAAACATGAATGTACTGTATGTCCACAACAATGGATCGTTTACTAGAACTAAAGACTTACATAACGATCATGTTTCCTCTGTTCTCTGTCAGGAGTCTGCTCCCCAAAGCATGTCTGAACACTTTCAAAGCTGTGCGTGCGCTTCTGTCCAAACCTGAAAACTGTCAGCTGAGTCTGAGCCACAGTGATAAGGCCAGTACCCTGCTACGGGACAGCCTCAACCTGGGTCCACATAACCACAGCTCCAGCATAGACAAGGTACAACGCAGAAATGGAGCAACCCGAGCACTCTATCACTGTAGATGGCCACACACTGGCTCCAACTTCAGTACGGGAATTATCTCATTTATTTTAACCACTTTCTAATTTTCTATGTTTTGGCTGAGGAATGATTCTGCATATTGGGAAAAACCACACCGATATTGACCAAAGTCAGTGTAATAAGGTTTACAGATGGAAAGTAGCATGGTGTTAAATCTGGTGCAGCCATCTTTTTAGAAGTAGAAGTCTGCGATCAGTTATTTGTGAAATTATACTTTTGACTGTCTTAAAAAAAGATATGCTAATGCTAAACAAATAATGATACTATTGTTTTTGTCTATGTAGTATAACCTTTATGAAAATATTGCGTGTGCGTGCGTGTATAAAGTTGACAGCAAAATGTGGATGACAGACTCTGGCTTCCTCCTGAGCCACTGCTGCGTGCCCTCCTGCTGCGCTGCCCCTCTGGCGTTCAGCAGATGGTGATGCGGCCGGATGGGGGCCTTGTGGAGGGTGTGTGCGTGTGTGTGTGTACAAGGATGAGGGCCTTGTGGAGGGTGTGTGTGTGTACAGGGATGGGGGCCTTGTGGAGTGGGTGTGTGTGTGTGTGTGTGTGTGTACAGGGATGAGGGCCTTGTGGAGTGGGTGTGTGTGTGTGTGTGTGTGTGTGTGTACAGGGATGAGGGCCTTGTGGAGGGTGTGCGTGTGTGTGTGTGTACAGGGATGAGGGCCTTGTGGAGGGTGTGCGTGTGTGTGTGTGTACAGGGATGAGGGCCTTGTGGAGGGTGTGTGTGTGTGTGTGTGTACAGGGATGAGGGCCTTGTGGAGGGTGTGTGTGTGTGTGTGTACAGGGATGGGGGCATCGTGGAGCGTGCACACGGCCATAGCTGTGGTGCATTGTAGTTGCATTGCATGTTTGTCTCATTGGAGTGCAATACACCTGCAGTGCAACACAGAGCTGAGCCACAAACGACCAGCACCACAGAGTAGAGAGAGAATGAAAGGAGGAGAGAGAGTTTAGAGAGAGTAGTAGAGAGAAAGAGTAGAGAGAGACGAAGTAAATATTGTCGTTGAAGTTGTCTGAGAAGTTTGATTATAGCAATAGTTTATGTTTGTCTCTTCAGGTGGTCCAGTTATTGCTGTGTGATCTGCTGTTAGTGATGCGGACCAATGTTTGGCAGCTGCTGCAGCAGGGGGCTGTGGGACCCACTAATGTAGGTCCGAGCTGTCCAGCAGGGGGCGTGCATCAGGCTTCACCTCCAGAGCTACAAGGCTTTCAGCAAGACCTCAGCTCTCTGCGGAAGTTGGCACACAGTTTCAGACCTGCCATGAGAAGGGTATGTCTTTCATTCATTTATGGACCACATCATGGAGTTTATTTTGATTGCTGTATTGGACGATCATCTGTTGTGAACAAATTGCCAATCTACAATTGCCAGACATTGCAAAAGATATTTATTTATATTATTATATTGTTTTATGTATTCATTACTGACCTTGGTATTATAAATCATGTATTTACATTGTGTATCTTTATATATACCTTTTATTTAACCATGATATTTATTTTTGACATCTTTTTGAAGCGTACATTTTTTACTTTAATGTTCGGGGTAGATGGGCTTAGTATTACAAAGAAGCACAAAGTAATGCGTACAGACAACTTTGTAGCCCATATTTGAAGGTTTTACTCCTAGCTTTTGGCACACAACACTCTCACTCCCCCTGAGGCTAGTGTTCTGCTACACTCTTTCCTAACGCGTCTCTCTGAAGTCTGACTGAAAATGCATTACCGCTTTCTTTCGTTCTCTCATCTGTTTTATCCCCGTCTCTTTGCAGTTATTCATCCATGAAGCCACAGCCAGGCTGATGGCTGGAGCCAGTCCCACTCGCACACATCAGCTGCTGGATCGCTCACTACGGCGCAGAACAACGCCCGGAGCCAAGACAGGTGTGCAACGTTTACATGTGTCCTCCAGGCATATTTATCTCCTCACCAACTTGAATATTGATAGTATTAGGACATTCACTGACCTGTGCTTAAAACAGGAAAACTCTTACTTTTTCCACTGTTATCTATGGTCCCAAAATAAACCAATGAGGAAACATTAAAATGAGCTGATATCTGGCATTCTCCACCGCTGGGTCAAACGGATTGGTGTATTGAGTGCACTATGTGGCTCAGTTTTATACCAGTAAATCGAGCCGTTTTATTTGCGAAATGCCTGACTGACCACCTGACTGTTGTTGTGATGTGTAGAGGAGTGCGAGACGCGGCCGGGCCAGCGGGAGCAGGCTGAAGCGGTGCTGTTGGCGTGCAGATACCTCCCCCCTTCGTTCCTGTCAGCCCCAGGCCAGAGGGTCGGGATGCTCGCCGATGCAGCCCGCACCCTGGAGAAGCTGGGAGACAAGAGAACGCTTCACGACTGCCAGCAAATGATCATCAAGCTGGGGAGTGGCACCACCGTCACCAACAGCTAGACTCAACCGCTAAAATATCAATGCAGAACAAGAACGAAAACATTCTGGCTTCACAATGTAACGCCATCAATCACTCAAAACAAACTGCAGAAAATAAGCATGTTTTCTTTCTCTTGAATCTCCAGTCTGCAGTCTCACATAGGCACTTACCGCACATGGGCATTCTAGTATTCTGTCTACAAAAGACGCACAATCAGAATCTCCTCCACAACAGCCTTGTTCCTCATTTGAATCGTACTTATTCAAGCCCCAAAGTCTCCATCTGCACTAGCCTGTTCAGGCTCTTTTCATAGACTGATCATGTTTTGTAGCGTGTGTGTATATGTGTGTGTACATATTTTTAAAAAATGTATTTATATATTTGATTAAACTTGCAGTATTGTGACATAAGCAAGATGATATATGCTCATCTAAGCACCTTTTTAATTAGGAGGAGTTTCTCCAGGTTTGTTGATGCCTGCGATATGTGAGCATGGAGTACTCTTGACCTTTTGCAGTACCGCACAGTGGTGCTGTGGGACACAGGCGCTGTCTCCATCACATACAGATGGTTTCTAAGTAAATTATTGTCTCCAGATTGAGCCTGCAAAGTAATGTGTTTGTTTGTAAAGTACTGCTTTCTCTTACATCTGTTAAATTTGATACTATTACAAACTTCGGTAAACACATGCTCAGAAGACTGGCTAAACGCTTGTGGTAAAATGGCATCTTCCATTATTATCATGTAAATATTAAAATATTTTTTAAAGAATACCATTGATCTTTCCTTATGTGAATTCATGCTTCTACTAAATGGAAGAAGTTTCTTTTTAACAAATCTGCGTGCCGTAAAATGTTAGTGAATATAAAAGGATAAGAGACAAAAGAAATGGATCATAGCAGCATTGAAAGGTGCTGGTATATTTCACATTGGCGTTACAAAAACATTTCAAACAAATGTGATGCTGTTTCAGTCCAAACATGAAAATTGATGAAAGTGCATGCTTCAATTCAAAACAAGGACATTCCCCAAAAGTAAATAATGTTCATCAATGGATTCTTTTAATAACATTTTATAAGCAATAACATATTCCATTTTATAGAAAATAAACATCTCTAGGAAATACTATACACAATTATATTAGTACATCACATCTTACATTTAAACAGCATCAAATACTTATGTACACCATTAAATGAGCCTCTCGCAAGAGGACGTTTCTTTTACGCTTTTATACTCATTCATTTTTATATGCACAGTAGTAGTGACCGTACTTGGCAGAGTAACAAGCCTACATTTGAAATACAGACAGGTGCTTTATGAAACTGAACTGAAATGTACATACATCCATTTTCACATGTGAAGAAATGTCATTTTCATAACTTTTATTTTTGTACTTACATAATGTAGCATTAGTGAGGAGTCTGTCTCTTGAGGTGACGTGAACACAGCAGATGAGAGTAACACACTTTATTTTTTAAATTTGTACATTTCTTAAAAACACAGAGCATGGTGCACACAAATACATCTCCGCGAATAGAGCATCATAATAAAATACTGATCTTGTGTTTTATAAGCAAATACTTATGTTTTCTGTTGTACAAGTTAAAATAGTACACCAAAGGCTTGGCTGCCAGTGTATGGTATGCTAAAGTGGAGATGCACGTCCTCACTCCCACAGACACAAATGAACAAACACAGGATGAGTATTGGGGCAGAAGAATGAAGGCTCAAGACACACATGAAGGTGGCCAGAGGCTGCTCCTGTCCAATCAGAGTCCTCCAGGTATCTTAATCCGATAGTGATCCATCCCAGGGCAGGACACACACACTGCTCCCTGTGCATTTCAAACAGCCCCCTGTGCAAAGGGCCTGAGGCTCCCCCGAACAGTCACATCTGCCGCCTGCTGCTGAAGGGGCTCAGTGGAGTACCACACACAGCTCGTCTGTGAAGTAAGCCACCAGAACTCTACTCCAAGCTCAGCCTCGTGCTGTCTGCCCTGGCTCTGTCCAGCACCACGAACGCAGGAGGCTGTTTGGACAGCGGCGTCCCTGTCGCACTGGTTGGGTTGAGAGGTGCTATTTCTGATGAAGTATTACAGGTCCTGCAATAGACAAGAATAAACAATAAACCAGTCACTCATGACTCCAGTCATCTGACATTCATGATGTCTGCACTGCAGAGCCATCAGCTGACGGATAAACACTCTTCCTTATGATTAGTGGGAGCTTGGTGCTGTTATTTAGCTCTGTGTTCAGGTTATTGTCCATGCACCAGTGACTTGGAACTCCCAAGCCGTATCCACACGAGATGTGCATTCTGCTGCACTCACAAATGATGCAGCTGGATTGGCCCTAGCTACAGTGTGTACGACAGCAAGCCCTAGCTTCAGTCTGAGACAGCGGGCCACTCACTAATGGTTGTGGTGGTATGAAGGTGTTATCCACCCCTGCAGCCTTTACCTCAGTTTGCCGACAGCTCTGACTCGCAGATGATTTAATTTACATTTGTTGCATTGTCTACATTATCTAGCACTCTGATGTAACAGTCCCTAGATGCCTTTTTATCGTATGCTCCTCATTCTTTTGTGCATCCCAAAACTGCAGACCTTAACCTGTGATTGGACCTGACAGGATTGTGCTTGTAGAGAAAAGGCACCACATAAACTTTGATGACAGCTTGTGCCTGTGTGAGCTCACTGTAGTGTTCAGCTCACATGGCAGATGGAGAGATGAAGAGCACAGGTAAAGCTTGAAAGAATTTAACCCTTACCCACTGTTGTTCTTTTATTTTGGTGTACATTATTCTTGTGGGCGTCTCTCTGCCTCAGTGTAAGCTCGCCTTCTCCCCACCTCAATGGATGTTGCACGTGTTGTAAGTGCCCACTAGAGGGCACCTGTTAGACAAATAAGTTCTTAAGTATTGATGAGTAAATAAACAACAACATTTATGGCGGTCTTGCCGTCACCATGTGTGCAAAGAAGGGTCATGGCGAGAACTCCTCTCTCTGCTGTGGGTTGACACAGCTTTGTCCTGCCAAGGTCACTGAGGACATATCGATCTGAAACTGAAGACCCTGCAGTCCCAGTCCTGCTGGGGTTTGTCACCAGGATGAATGATGGGGCACATGATACAGCCACACCAAACCCCCAGTGTTCTTTTCGGACTTTCCACCTGTTTTACAAGCGCTGACAGTGTTTTGTGTCTGCTCTGTATCATCTGACTATAATCCCTCAATTGAATACTCTATAGCACTGCTGCTGTCAGGGATGTTTTAGTTGTTTTGGGAATTATGTATAATCTGAGGGAGGAACAGTTTGGTGAGCGGACGACCTTTTATCTATGATCTTACAATTGTGAACTGTTGACATTATGAACTGCTCATTTGATAAAAGTAAATATTCTTTTACCTCATGTTTTGGACATTTGATGGAGAAGTCATCCTCATGGAATGTGCAGCCTGAAGATAAAACAAAAACCACACATACATGTTGTTAACACACACAAATGATGGTCGTACCGTCATCCTGCAAACACCCAGATATATGACACGGGTTAGAATGAAAAATGAGCACAAAGGAAGTGGCTCTATCCACGGAGGCAAAGGGAACAAAGTGGATGAGTTGTGAGGCGGGAGCGTGGCAGAAAGAGCCACCAGTGCACTCAGCAGGATTAACATGGGTTTGGTGCTCGCTCGGCAGACGTGGCAGTTTTCTAATCCACGCTGGAGCTTCTTGACGTGAGGTAATGTAAGAGGAAGAAACACTCAACACAAGGGACGCGTAATACCGACAACAATTACCCGAAAATATCCATTTGTGCCATAGTAAGAATAATAATAAGAAGGGACAGAATGCATGCATGGAAGGGGACACTGGTCATTTTCAATCTGCAACATTCTCACCATTAAAAGCTAGGATACCAATCAGAACATAACATGCTAGCTTCATCTTGTTAGAAAACATGTGATTAAGAAAGAGCCCTGTGAGTCACTTTTTGAGGCATTGGGCTGAGAGTTGATTGGAAAAGGCCAAAGAATACATGCAAGTGAAAGCTAGTGATGTCATGCACCCCAGGTTTAAATGACTCCTTTACACTCGTCGTCTCATTGACCATTCTTGAATACATCTGCTCATAGTCACGATATAGTCTATGATTGACTAACCATCAACATTTTTTTTTGTTGCATTGTTTAGATCAGGGGTGTCAAACTCATTTTGGTCTGAGGCCGAATAAAGAAAACAGAAACTGGTCGGGGGGCGAAAGAATGGAAGGGGTTTCCTTAACTGGTTGATGTTTGAAAACAAAAATGTGTTTATTGTTTAGATTGAACCAAAACTGGACCAAATACAAAGTTAAACTTTTTAAAAATATATTTAACTATTCAACTGAACTGGGTTAAAATGTTAGAATAATTCAAATGTTGTTTTCCTGAAAAAAAAAAAAGATGAATATGATTTTAGGGGCCACCAAAAATGTTCTTGAGAACCGGATTTGGCACACGAGCCTGAGTTTGACATGCCTGGTTTAGAAAATAGCAAAGCAGGTTTCAAAAGTAGACATCTGGACCAAGTTATTTGACTGCCATCCAGGCCTCACATGTGTCCAGTTGACTACTGTTGCATCCCTCCTGAGAGAAGGAGGGATTTCACTGATTAAAAAAATGTCACTGTAAATCTTCATTATATTTCTGTTATTTTATTCTACTGTCACATTTGTTCCTGCAGCACCCACACAACCTCCTTTCACTTTACTAGTTCCAATTTCCCCATCTCATTTCTCCTGCCTCTTTCCCTTCCTTTCCTTGTTTCCATCAGTTGTTGCTCCCACTCTGTATTGCCACAGTGTCTTACCTATCTCTTTGGCACAGACATAGTGGTATTTGTTAGAACAGCCTCTCCAGCAGCAGCTGAGGGATGCACCCACAGTCTGGCACTTGTAGCAACTCTGGGGTTAGTGAACGATTCGGACATAGGGCCCCACACCAACGAAGAGAGAGACAACAAATGTGCAGAGGAAAAAAAACAGAAAACATACTTTCAGAAGGGGCTCTCACTTCTATAAACTATAATTATTCAAAGTAGTAACAATAGTGACTTTTCTTACCATTTGAGCTGAACTTTTGGCTGCCTCTTTGAGTCCAAACAGTCTTCCTGCTACCATCACCACGCCCCTGGTCCAGATGGCACAGTTCTCGTGAGCCCAGTGCTCCTTGGTCTCTGCCTCTTGCTGAAGTCTCTGGAGCCGGTCCTCTCTCTCCTCCTGCTCACTGGTCCCAGAGGCTTTCAACTGCTGGATCCTCCTGAACCGCTCTCTGAGAGTGACTCTTCGCAGGCCTCCTCTCCGGGGCATGGACTCCAAACCCTCTGGCTTCCGATATCGACGATGCCGCTGCTGACTACTGCCCTCTTGAGCAGAGGGCTCTGAAGTGCTCTCTTCTTTAGTTTTACAATCCTCTTCAGCATTTGAGAAGCTAACTGGTTCTGCATTTAAGATACTTTTACTACAGCTGGCCCTATCTGTGTTTTCCCTAAATAAATCTGTCGGACTTGATGTCAATATCTTCCGTGGAACATCAGCTTCAGCATAAAAAGGGCCACATAAATCCCCCAGGTCTCTATAGTTGGCTGGTTTTCCACAGAGGCTACACGTGAGGGTCCTGTCTATCAGTGCTTTCGTTACTAAAGGTCCCTGCAACATGGCTGCAGTGTGTGGAATTCCTTTGGCCACTGTAAAGGGATTCTTCATTCGAAGAATTCCTTTTTTTCGTCTTCTCTGAAATACAACAGTGTCCTCAGGTTTGTTGACAATGGCACACCAAGATGAAAAGTCTCTAGAGTTGCTAAGACGTACATATGGGCAGAAAGACAATTTAGAGTTATGAGTGACCGGTCTACGTCTGAATTTCTTCACACAAATGGTTTTGCTTTTTTTCTCTGATACTGTTACTACAGGACCCGTAATACAGGGCTCTTCTTTTTCCATACAGTCTTTTTCCCTTATCTCCTTTTCCTCCTTCTCTCTCTCCTCTTTTGCAGCTTGCTCACAGCTCGCTGCCCTGACCACAGCTTCAATAACCTCCATAGCGTCCTTCATCCCAGGTTTTGGCCCTGGTTTTTTGTGGAGCTTTGATGGCTTCTCTGGAGTGAGCTCACATAACGTTTTACCTTTCTTTCTGCTGCTCTGATTCAGTGTAGGTTTTCTACCTCTCTTGGGTTTCTCTGTCGGCTCTGAGCTGCCCTCCTGCACAGGTTCAGGGTCTGGCTTTGTGCTTATCGGCACATGTGCTGACAAATCTGTGGCCCTTTCCTCAATCTTCTCTTGCTGCTCTGTTTCAACCTTGTCCTCCGCTTTAGCCTCACTAACTGTCTCTGCCCCGTCTGTTTTTTTCTTCCTTTTTTGTTTCAGATGCATCTCGTGGTTGTTTTTAATAGCCCTCTGCTTTGCCAGTCGTGGCGTTGTAACTATGAGACTGTCTGTATCGAAAGCTGCTTCGGTGCTCTCCACTATAGCCCACCTCTTCTTCTTTGCTTTGACTGGTTTTGTGCCCACAGAGACACATGCTGTTTCTTGTGTCTCATCTGTCCTAACTTCTATATTAACTGCATTTTGTAGTGTGCTTGGCTCTTTCTGTGCAACCTCATTTCTCTCAATTTCCTCCCTTATCTCTTCTGTTTCCCCATGCTCTTTTTCAGATTGAGGTTCCTCCTCTATTTTTACTGGCATGTCTTGTTCTTTGAGCTCATCTTCTTTCATATCTGTGTGTGTCACATCTTCCAAAATGTCTGCAGTGTTTGGGATTATTTCACCACCCTTAATTGAATTCTGAGAGAAAGCCTTAGATGTTAGTTCATCTGTAATACTGTCTATCTGAAGGATTTGCTGTTTCTTTGAGCCAGGAGATGTCATTTTCTGGACCAAGGCTTCATATTTCTGCCCCCTGCCTTTACGAGGGGGAAGCACTTTTGTTTTCGTAGGACACTGTGCAGGCGTGTCACTATTTTCTGTTTCACTAACTGGAGTAGTAGTGGAGGAACATTTACTTTGTGAAGTCTGTCTTCTTTTTGATGGCCGTGAGGCTAGTTCATCCACTGTAGAAACATCCTCCTCCGTCTGTGGGGGTGGTGGTACAACTCGTTTGGGCTTAGGCCCCCGTTTTTTCTTAACTGGAAGAGTGGAGGGAGGTGGGCAACTGCTTTTTCTCTTCAATGTTGTTGTGTTATCAGTTGTGATGTCAGAAGGTGAGTCCACAGGTTTAGGTAATTCACACAATTCCGCTGGAGCATCTGCATTTTTCGTCTCAGGGAGAGGAGTCATAGTTTGCTCAGCCGTTAAAGTCTCTATTTTTACATCACTAACTCTTGGTTCCGCTGAGGCCTTGGGTTCAACAGTTTCCATGTTTATTTTGACTTTGGTTGTGTTTTCCTGGGAGGGTTTTCTGGATCTCAAAACCATATTTTTTGTGACTCTTTGCGGTGCTTTCACTTCTGTTTTGTCTTCTGCCTTTATTGGTTTGACAGGGGGATTTTCTATTGTTGTTGTTTCCTGAATTGCCCTCTTTCTCCTGCTCTGCATTGGCTCTGACTGTTGAGTCACTTCTGGGGTGCTCTTGCTTTTAGACGCGGGGCCCTTTGGCCGGCCCACTGTGGTCTTAATAGGTGGGTCTATAGGATTTACTGGAGTGTCTGCAAGGGGAGGGACATCTTCAGGTGTCTGCTCTGGGCTTGTGGCTTGTTTAGAACCTGGTTTGGGACCAGGTTTTGCACGCGACTTTGGTCCTGGTTTTTGTTTTACTGTGATGTCTCTTTTGGGTGGGATCTCTGGTTCACTTGGTACTGGTTTTAATGCAGGTTTTGGGATGGATTTAGATTCAGGCTTGAAGTCTGGCTGTGCACGTGGTTTTGGAGCGGATCTTGTTCCTGGTTTGGGCTTGGCTTGGCCTGATTTTCTTTTGAGATCAGCTTTTTCTTTGATGGATAACTCTGGGGCATTGAATGAGCGTGTGCACATTCTTGAGGAAATTACATCAGACATTATCTTAGTTCCTGGACTAACATTTGACTCCTGATGTACAAGTTCGGTTTGATCAGAAATCAGTTCAGTTTTACTCATAGGCGTGCAAGGTTTTTGGGTTTTGTTTTCATCTACCCTTTCTTTCTCTGTCTCCAAACTCGGCTGACGCCTCACCCCTGACCCTGAGGGTATTCTTCTCCTGCCTCGGGCATGCTTTCGTCCATAGGTCCTGGGCTGAGCTGTAGGAGCAATAGGCTCTGGTTTAGTGGAGGGGGTCACAGCACTGGCACAGCTGATACCAGGCTCAATGTCCTCGTCCCCCTTTTTAGGTGAGGGTGGGGTGTCTGCCCATGAAGGGGCTGAGGGGAGTATGGACTTCCCTGGCAGCTGTGGTGAGTCTGGTTCAAGCATTTTAGTATCACTGAGATCCATGTGATCTCTGGCATGAGCTGGGGCAGGCGCAGCTTTGTCATTGAGCGTGGAAAAGACTGGCATAGCAGACTCAGGCTTAGGAGGAGTGTCACCAATAGCTGTATCTCTACTGGAAACATCAGTGGCTGTGTTTAAATGGACTGGTGCAAAGTCATCAAGAAGCTCTGCACTTTTGGCCTCCTTCTCTTCTTCCTGATCTTCGCTAACCTCAGCAGAAAGTGGAGGAGACAGTGTCTGTGGCTCTTCCTTCTCAATGCTTTCCTTGCCTGCTTCCTCTTGCTCTTCTGCTTCTCCACTCTCTTCCTTCTGTGCGATATCATCGTCCACCTCAATTTTGAGGGGAGGAGAGGTGTTTCCAGAGCTGTCGTCTTTCTCTGTGGAATACTGCTCATGTTCAAGGTCGCCTCTTGAAGGTGAGGTTTTCACAGAGCTCTCAGATGGAGTGCGTGAGTCGGATTGGAATGCCTCTGACTTCACCTCTTGCTCTTTGTCGTTGGAGAAGGACAGACGAGAGGGTGACCTTTCCATTGAGTCCGCTCTTGTAAGTTCATAGTTTTGTTCGTCCTCGTTATATTCAGGGCTGTCATAGCAGTAGCTTTTTTCTCTTTCTTCTTTCTTACTTAATAGTTGAGATTCATTTTCTTCTGTTGTCCACTGCTCTATTCTCTCAGGCGACTTGACCATATCAGCATCTTCATCAACATTCACCATAATATTTTCTGAAAGCTCGTTCTTGTTTATGCACTTGTCAGACCAAGTGGATTCTTCAAAGTTTTCTTTTAAGGGCTCATCAATGTTTTCAATATCTGGAGGGGAATCTCTGTCTTGTTTTAGTGGACTTGATACTGTAATGCTTGTGGGTGATCTTTCGTCCCCTATGCTTTTAGCTGGAGTACTCATGCCATCACCACCTTGTGCTGGTGTACAGATAGCTGGGTCAGGAGTCAAGTTATGTACACCTGAGTCCCCAGATCTGATGGACATGTCATCAGGGGAAGTTATTGAGCATGAAGAGACATTATCTATGCACAAGCTATTGTTGTTTTGGGCCTGTGCTGGACTCCTGCCTTGGCTGCAGTAGTAGTAGCTTCTTTCAAGTTGCTCGTCACTGCTGCTGGAATAGCCTGCTTCGTGCAGCTCCACGGGGAGTGTGTGGTGCTGGGATGTTGAGTAAGGATCTTGTATGGTACCTCCAACTCCGCTGCCATCAGCATACAGAGGATTCTTATACTCTTCACTTTTTTTAGAGTGCGTGACACTGCCTATGCTGCTGTTACTTCCACCACTGCTCCGTTTTCCGCTTTTCTTATTTCCAACTAAAGCTTCAGAAAGCAACAACTGCTGGACATTATTGGAAATGTTCTCCACTTGAGAGGTAAGGGCATTGAGGCTCCATAAGCTTGGATTAGAAAGAAGCTTTTCAGAAAAGCGCTCTTTCATGGTGGGTAGCTGAGGTGTGGTGGTGTAGCTGTGAGGAACTGGGTGGGCCACATTCGGGGAGGGGTGGGAGCGTGGGGGCAATAACATGGCACTGGAGCCCCCCTGCTCTGGCATGGCAGAGGTAGAAGATGAAGAGGAGGAGGGCGTCATAGTTGGTTGGCTGTACTGAAAGGACTCAGGATTGGGCATAAGTGGTGAAGGGGTGGAGCTGTATGAGGGAGAACGCCCGACAGAGCGTGCAGGCGAATGGCTGGATGCAGGGCTGCACGTTTGGTAATATTGGTCTGGAGAGCGGACCGGCATATCAGTGAGGCAATAATTCTGCTGGGTCTGAGTATAATGTTGGTATTTTGGATGAGGCTCCTGTGGGCTCGTCAGGGTCTGTAAAGGGGCATGCGGTTCGTAGCCCCTTGGTGCAGGCTGCTGGTAACTGTAACCGCTCTGACTCTGCCTGTATTGGCCTTGCTTCAAGCTGCTGTGGCTTCCCATTTGTCTGCTGTACTGCGCATTTGGGGGCATGTTGTACCCTTTATAGCAGTGAGGCAGAGTACTGCACTTGTCCATGTATGGAGACGGGGACTGCTGGGGATAGTGCAGGTGACTCTGAGGGTACATGAGTGGTGAGGGCGGAGGGTTGGGGTGATGTGGACTTGTATAGGCCGGGGTCGTGGGCTGATGGCACTGAGTTTGGCCTAACAGGGTCTGGTCCATGTACTGCGAAGAGCCAGGAGTGGGGGTACTTGCCTCCATGCGGGCCACTACATCCTGTTCATACTGTGATAACTGTGACGGGTCGTCCCACTTCTGTTGTATGTGACCCTCACTTAAATACTGTGCTGAGTAGCTTCCTGGGCCCATGTGGTTGTAGCCAGCTGGACCCTGCAAATGATTCCCAGAGGTCTGAGTGGGTGCTTTACTTCCTCCTCTGTAAGACTTCTTAGCAGGGACCCCGTTCCCATTGCCATTGCCTCCATTGTTTCCAGGGAAACTGGCAAAGGCTTGTTGATTGTAACAGTCCTTGGTCCCACCTCCAGCTGGGGTCATGCTGGAGGGACTGGTCAGAGGATGGGGGTCATATCCGGGTCTGCATTGCCCTGGGTGTGGTCCTGGGCCAGTGTGCGGATGCTGCGGGTGCTGGCGGTATGTGTCGAGACGGGATAATTCATGGGGCTCCTGCTGGTAGCAAGTCTGGTTGCTGTGGTAACCAGTGCTGCGCTCTCTGAAGGACTGCATCTTGTCGTCTGCATCCAGAGCAGGGGGGGGAGGGGGTTAGGGGCTCTGGGAGGACAGATAAGGGGCAAGAGGAAGAAAAAAAGATGAGAGACGGTTAGAACATGCCACGGCCCATTTTAATTGAAAACTTTGATTCAAAACTAAAGTATGGCCAGTTCTCAGTGCGTAGTAAGAAAGCAGGACATATTACACCATAATATAAGATGATAAAAAAGAAAAAAAAGATTATCAGGTTATTTTCAGTCACAAAGCAGAATTGCTCAATAATTCTTAACTATTGTATTTCTAACAATGGTTTTGTATTTGTGGCCCTGTGTATAGAAGCAGTGGGGAACACTGTGCCTCTATAAAAGGACTACAATCTGTGCGTTTGTCTCACTTCTAGCACAGATTCTGAGACTTCACTCAGCTGCCCCAGGGACAGAGCTGCAACCCACCAGATGTACACTGGCATTATTCATCTCCAAAGAGAGTGGTGCTGCATCTGTGGGATTACACTGGAATGGCTCTGTTTATGCATGTATGTGGCTTTTTCGGTTTATATCGAAAGCACACATGCAGCTCTCAATTTCCCTGGAGAAGCTGCAGAGCCCTCCTCTGTCTATGCATGCAGTGCCTATGCAAGGGCACTAGCTAACAAGTTCACATTGACCCAAATAAGATGTTTTTCAAGGAGCGCATGAACACTTTCTTACAAAGCTGTCTCAACTGTGCTTAGGGTAAGGCAATTAGTGTGTACTGGGTCGTGCCAGACAGATAATGTGAACGGTTATTTGAAATGTTATTATTTCAAATTTAGTAATTCTGACAATATATTGTTCAATCCAAACAATATTGGGCGTATTAAGTAGTTTTTAGAGTTTAGCACAGTCATATTATATTATTTCATTCTTCAAAGTTATTCCTTCACATGGCAACTACATCTATGGGAGATTTTGTCATATTGAGAACTAGTGATAATATAATAAAATATTATTTTAAAAATTGGCATTTTATCACTCATTCTGAGCTCATTTTGGCTCTATATTAAGGCAAGCTTACTGGATAATTAGCGTCGTTGCTAAGCTAATTAGGTATTAGTACCTTCCCATCGAGTTTCATGGAGTGTCAAGCATGTTTATGAAGCTTAGGGCCTGTTTACACGGAGACGCAGCCAAGCAATTTGCAAAAAACTACCCCACTCCGGATTCAAACCACATCACTGGAAAGCTGGAAAAGCCATCAGCATCATTTTGCATTTAACAGAAGCAGAAAAAAACTGCAACTACAGCTTTGCGTGGTTTTGTGTTGACGAACAAAAGAGTAGAATTGCTCCTCCGTGTAACTGCTGAAGCACACATAGCACTAGTTGATCCACCGCCATTGTTGTTTACGTTTGTTCTCGGCTACTACGCATGTCCACATTCAGGGAGGTTAGGGAGAGCGTCGTGAGGTCATCACAGCCAGAGAGTTCGCACCTTATTATTCAAAAATCTGCGATACGGCTCCCCGCCTCGCAGCGCAGCCACTTTGTTTCAAGCTGGATACCATTTTTCAAGACTTGCGTTTTCACCCCTGTGAAACACCGACGTCATGTGAAGGAAAGGCCAATCCGATAGGGAACTTTTTCATCGTATCGTCACAGCGTCTCCGTGTAAACAGGCCCTCGGGAGCGGTTTTCTGTGCAGGGCATGCCAGGTGGCTTTGATTAAGAAAATAAACTGAGGGTAGGTGCTGTTGCTAATATGCCTACACCAAATATAAGTATTTCTAGGTTTTATTACATGAACCCTTGATGGATAAATTGGCTCATTTGAATGAAGATAAGGACCGGAACCAAATGGATACCAAGATATACACAGTTTGTTTGTGCAAAGTTTGTTTATTATTATTCATCTTTTGCATTTGTGCAAAAGATGTGTACAATTTATGTCTACTTATTTACTTAAAAATACGAGTTTATCAAACATGGGTTTGACAGAGGTCTTGGGAAATTAAAGTGAAGGACAATTGCGTCAACCATATGGCATACTGTATGAATTTCATGCAGTGTACGGGCAACATAAATAATCCAATTAAGCAAAAATACAACAGCAAAAGTATGATGCAGGACTGCAGAGATGGTGGTGAACAGGAGTGAGAGAATGGGGTTGAATTGGATTGTTCCGCTGCATGCTTCTTAATGCACCGATATGTGACTGGTTCTATTGGCCCTTCATTCGTTTTTCATCTTCTCTCCCTCTCTTTCATCGCATCATCTTCTGAGGGAGCTTGAGATGGGATTTATCTGCCCTCCCGACACCCAAATACACACACCCACATGCACACACAGAAAAGAAATGCTTTGATTCCATCCTTATACTTTTTTGTTGTTGATTCAAATCAATCCCAAAGTCCTTTCTTCCCTTTAACACAAATAAAGACCCATGCAGATGTGAGTGGAGCGTTTCCCCGTGTTTATCCTCTCAAGACTTTCTGGTTAATTATGCATGCAGAGAAACAAGCCTATAGCAAAACATAGTCACTATCCACCATCAACTCAACCTAGAAATGCATCTTAAACTATTACACAATTCCTGGAGTGGACGTCAAAAAGAGCACACATACTGTCGATTACAGACCTTTAAACTACAGTGTATGCGTATACCCTTGATGCATAGACTATTTATCAGTATAATTTTCATGTTTTGATGAGACTGATTAAGATAAGATAGAATAAAACTTTATTTATCTCACAATGGAGACATTCACATGTCACAATTGGCATAAATAGGATCACTCAGAATGTGTAAAAAGAAAATGTGCAAATATGTAAAAAAAAAAAAAAAGTGAAAAATTGATAATTCTTTGAGGATTTTTCCATTTTTGATCTAGAATACATACTTGCTGATATTGCACATTTGTGATGTGTTGAACAGGCCTTCTTCTTAAACAGAATGCTCCCAACACTAACCAACCGAAGATAAAGTCTCTCAGCTTCATACAGTGGCGCTAAATATACACACAACTATCCCTGGCTCTGATGTGCTTTCTCACCAGCCTCCACAAGGCGGTGGACAGACGGACATGTCTGCCTCCTCCACTACAGCCAGTGTGGGTGGGTTCTTACCAGGGAGAGAGACAGAGGAGATGGAGGAAGCCAGTATCGGCCTTGACATTTGTCACTGTCCCGTTGTCATGACACACGGCTGGAGGTCATGCAGGGTCAGCGGTGGCCAGTCACATAGATTATCAGAGAAGACGTAGTGTATAACCCTCATGCTCCAGACAGAAGGGAGCTGCATAAAGACAGGCTGCAAATAACATCTAAAGGCCTTCAGTGATAAAAAGGGGTATGTATATGTCTCTTCCAAATATGCACAGTGAAGATGTCAAACAAAATAGTATATACGCCATATATGTCTTCCACTTAAATTACTATTTAAAAAAAACCCTTGTCTTTCAATCACTCACTAATCATTATCATTCAATCAATCTATGCAATGTTTACAATAAAGCACAATGCCTGATATGTGAAATCAAATAGTTTAGACCTCAAGACTAAAACAAACAGCAAATTCAGTTTGTTTTAGTCTTTGTTCACACCAATATTTTCTCACCATGTGAGAGAGAGGCATCAGTGCTGTTCCTCGGGCTGTGGATGACTCATCGGCATTTACCATCTCGACCGTCAATTTCGTCACTAACGAAGATGACACTTTGCACTGGCCTCTACGAACGCAGCAACAGTAAAACAAACTCAGGTCAATATGGGGGACTATGTATGGAGCGACATAAACAGAAGAAAATCAGGATATGACGTCGGTTAAGGGGGTGACATAAACTTAGGATCGATCAATTCTCATAATGACCGTATGCCTATAAAATAATCCAATGAAGTGTTTGTTCTATTATTTTAGACTCATTTTGATCCAGCCAAACCCCTCTCCTATTGTACAGTTTATGGACCCATTTGACAACGTAACACAAATGGGTTGGAAAGAAGGCTGAGAAGCAGAAATGGACTTATGATTCACGGCCATAATAAGTTAGTTAGTAAAGACAAGTGAGCCTTCTTTATCAAAAAGTATTCCAAGTATTCAGGTTATTTTCAGGAGTTATTTTTGGCCAATGAATAATACATTAAACAACTTATTTAACCATCTTGACAAAAATGAAGGCGAGTGAACTTTAGTATGATAACCTCAGCTTAGCCCACACACAATTCTTCCTCATCTTTTCATCCTTTATGCACACGGGGGAACTGAGGGTTCTGTAAAGTGGGCTGCCGAACTACTTGTTATTCTTCCAGATTCCACCAAACGAAGCAGCATGACAGTCTGTGGCACACAAATGATGCAGGAAGATGGGGAAGAGTTTGAAGACTTAAATGCTTCAATTGCAAGTCTCTGGTACGCTCTGACTTACACTGCGGGGTGAAATCCAATTCTACGGAACCAATTTCAAAACCAGACGCAAAGAGAGGATGGTTGAAAAACAAAAGGTGGCGTGTTTGAAAGAGGGGGAGAACGAAACAGACGAGCGAAATGCCTCATTGTATGCGGTGACCCACTTTAGCTGAGACTATTTCTGGTAATAAGGTGACGCGCTGGAGTGAAACAGAGGAAGAAGTGTTTGGGCAGATTTTACAGAGACATCCCCGCTGGTGTTCTGCGGTGAGTCCCTTCACTCATTTACACATAGGCACATGTGCAAGATTGGCTCACGGATGCGACGGGCTAACACACACTGATCTGCACCTGCTCCTTCTTTGTGCCCCTCCACTTCGCCTAATTGATCACGCCGCGTCAAAGCCGTCGTCTCGATGCTCAGTTTTTTCAGTGCCCTTCGTTTTTTGTCCTCTATGCCGTACACGTATTGTTGCTCTGTAGCAGCATATGTGTGGGAGGGGGTCGACCTTGTCCGAGGTTACATCAGGGTAGGTGGTCTGGCTCAATGAACTGGACAGACATGAAAAATATTACCTGAATTTGAAATCCCGTAATATGTATTAACAAAACAATGACTATAGGACACATACA